AAGCACTCTTTTCGTTAGGTTATGGAGAATTTGCAAAATCTGATAAATCTACAAGAACTATGGCTTGGCCGTAACCGTATTCGAGCTATCAATCTATGTGGCTTGAAATGCATTAAAAAGATTAGCATCCAGAGTAACCGTTTGACGTCAATGATTGGATTGGAGGTATTATCCAAGAGTAATTTATTATATGAAGAATAGTCTTCTCATTATTCTAATGCATGTTCTTGAATTGTTTCCTGGTTATGCAGGACTGTGTTGCTCTTGAAGAGTTATATCTGAGCCATAATGGTTTTGAAAAAATGGAAGGCTTATCAACCCTGGTAAACCTTCGGGTCTTGGATGTATCAGCAAACAAACTTACTGCAATTACTGGCATTGAAAACCTAACGAGGTATGATGACTTTTTGACTGCCCAATGGTACAAATAGATGTACACATTCTTTAAGTATAGATCGTATCATCTTAATTATGTATTTTCCTTCACTTCAGCTTAGAAGATCTCTGGCTGAATGACAACAATGTATCATCTCTTGAAGGCATAACTGATGCAGTTAGTGGTTCACGAAAAAAGCTGACTACTCTTTATCTTGAGCGCAATCCATGTGTATGTATATATACATTGCATAACGTCTATTTCTACTCTTCCCAGTTTTAAACTGCATTATTGTTCTGAACCAGTAAAGTGTTAGAATTCGACCAACGGAGGGATTAACACAAATGCTAGACATGGTAGTCAAACTCGAGAGTCGACTCCTAGAATCGTGTGATTCTACGATATAGAAATGGATCTGCGATTCAGATCGTAAGAAGAATCACAATTTCAGAGAGATAGTTAGACGTCATTCAGGATGGTTAAGTCAGTAGGATCGGCTCGTGGGACTCAGAAGATTGACTGCAAAAAAACCAGCCAGAAATCTGAAAATTCACGACTCTTCCGTTTTTCAAACTGCAACTCTACCTTCTATTCCTACTTTAACCTGCAAAAATCATCTACTTGTCAGCATCTACAAATTTTCAAAAAATACTTTCTTTTTCTAAACCTCCCTATAGAGCGTCTGCAACGTGAAAAAAATTCTCTAGAATGTCTCTAATTCTTTCTTTTGTAAATTTAGGTACACGTATATCTTCTTCTCTCCTATTATCTTCTATTTATCCAGGTTCTTCCATTTTTCTGAATACTCTAGACTTCCACCTGACATCTTTCTTCAGTTTACAAAGTTTGTGTCTTTGTGAATAATCTTATATGTTTTCGAGTCATAGTATTTGTTTTATTAACTTATGATTCATGAATGATAAAAATATCATCAAAGTTAAATGGCATTGTAAGTGGTATTACCATAGTTTGTAAGGCAACAAGGCGAGGCGCCAATGTACCTTCATATTGCCTAGGGGACTAGGTGACATACATACATACCTACACATATAATATATATATATATATACATATATATACATACATATATATACATACATACATACATACATACATATATACATATACATACAAACATACATACATACATACATACATATATGTATGTATGTATGTGTGTGTGTGTGTGTGTCTATATATATATATATATATATATATATATATATATATATAGGTCTTATACATTTTAAGGAAGCTTGATCAAGACAGAGAAGGCCGAGAGAGAGAGAAGATAAGTTTAAGTCTATTAGGCTACACTAAAAGAAAATGGGCTGCACTAAAAAATGGGTTTTTTTAGTAAGGCGAGGAAAGGCGACGCCTAGGCGAGCGCCTGATCGCCTTAAGGTTTTCTAGGCGAGCAGACAAGGCATCCCAGTGACAGCGCCTTATCGCCTAGGCGACGCCTTACACACTATGGGTATTACTGATATACTCCCTCCGTCTACAAATAAACTTTATATTACGCGTTACGATGTTTGACTAAAATTATTTTCAAATCATTTTATATGAAAAATGGTGTAGAATTGAAAAATAAAAATTACATATTAAAAAACTATATCAAAAGATTTACAAAACTAGAGGTGACATGACTATATTATTTTATCAAATGGGTGACGAAAATAGGCCAACAAAGTAAATAAAGTTTGACCCTGTGAATAATGAACGTAAAGTTTATTTGTGGACGGAGGGAGTATATATATATATATATATATATATATATATATATATATATATGTCTGTGTGTGTGTGTGTTTATACATACATGTGTGTGTGTGTGTATATAGACACACACACACACTTGGTGAGGTTCTTTTGACAAGTTTTGTTGTCAAAATATGTGTGCAAGACACAGTCTGTTTGTGACATCATCTCTTTTTGGAACGACTTAACTATCCTGTTCTGCATGTTTCCTCACATGTATCTTGCTTTTCATGAAATTGAAACCAGAACGACTTTGCCATGTAAGCCCTGAAATTTGATCTTATATTGTTCCTCTAGTTCTTCATGGAAGCTTCCATCTTCAAATGGGCCTCACAAAGTATGGCTCATGCATTGCATCCTCATTGGCCAGTTATTTTTTTTGGTTCTCACGACATTGCCCCACCATTGTGCCGCACTGCCGCCATTTGCTTCACAAGAGAACTGAACCACCAAAGGGCTTAGTGTTATTCAATTTTTGAAGTTGCATGTCATGCTCTTGTCGTTTCAAGATTTTCTTGGTTTCTCTTTGTGTAAGTTTCTCCTCAACACAATGCTTTGCAGGAGGGTGGATGTAGCCGCTATGACGATAAAGGGAGAGTTTGTTTTGTTGGTTTGCACACATTTGTTGTCGATAAGGGTCTGTGTACAGAGAATGGGGTACTGGAATGAGGGAGGTTCAGAAAGTAGTAGGGGTATAGTGAAGATAATTTGGATTGAAGGTGTAAAAATGGAAATCAATGTATTGGTGCTTAACAGAAAGAATGAATAAGAAGAAGATTTCAGTTGATGGTCTCCGACTCTGTAAATTTTCTATTGGTTCATGTAACAACCCCGTAGTTTTGGGATTAAGGCTTGGCACGGTTGTTGTTGTTGCTATTGATGACATTGTGTCCATTTATGAAACGAAGCATAGTTTGTCTCTCATCTCTGACATGAAAAGAGGAAAAACAGTCCATCTCACAAAAAAAATCTCACTCCGAACACCTTGTCTATGGTACCTTGTCATATTGACTATAAAGTGACCCAAAAGATTCCTGGCATATGGATATTTGAGGTGTTCATGGGTGGGAGAGTCTAAATGGAAGTAGGAAAGGTAGAATAACAGAATAGTACCCAATGAGATCAGTGAACGTCTAAATTAGGTTAAATATGCCTTTGGCTTAAAATGGACCAATACCTTATATTGTTAAAATGCACGAGTTGTCAAAGTATGGTGGCCTGTCGCCATGGAATGACTTTATGAACAAACTCATTCCTTAGATGGTTGCTTACAAGGAACTGAAAATGCTTCTGATACATACCCAATAATGATTGCTTCTGAGAAAATTTGTATCCATATAAGCTGAAGTCCTCTGATTCCTCTCAGATGGGCCAAGGAACAACACGCTTATTGCCATTGTTACTGTTGACCTAAAATATGCTCTTTTTGTAAAGATAGCTGGAATGCCCTTTTCTGCATGTTTCTTCCCCGGGTTACCTTGTCTTTTTTTTTTCTGTACCCAATATTTTGGATTCGATATTGAACAACTGTCCACAGTCCAAGGAACACAAACATGCAGACTTGAACTCCTGTTAGTCCATGTTAATTATGATTTCTGAGAGATCTTTGTGTGAGAGTTTTTTTTTGCTATGTGATCACACATTGTTTTAAGTTTTAAAGTTGTGTCCTTCAGTTTCCATGCAACAAGAACTTTGCACCGGAAATATTTTAGCTTGTAAGAAGTAATATAAATACCACATTTTGGCGTATTTAGAACAGCAAGATCATGTGAATCACTGGGATATCTCATTGCTTGAATGTTCTGAAGTCCTGCATCATTATATGGCCAATTTGCAGCACAATTCATCTCTTTATTTTTTTTCCTCTTTAGCGGCGTGCACCGCTTGATAGTATCCTTGAATATATCATTTTGCAGGCAAATTCTCCAGACTACATCACTACTTTGAGACAAGTTTTCCCCAACATTCAACAGATTGACTCGGAACTATTTGCATAAGCCAAATGAAACAATGTCAATTCTAATCTAACAGCAGATGAAACGGTGAGACCCCTTAACTGATGTGTGATTCCCGGCATCATCGCTTTCAAACTTGCTGCTCGACAGGATTTTTTTATTTCGAGTTATGGAGTCATACTCTTGCACACTTTTGATTTTTTTAAGCTACACTTACGAAAGTTATTTATGGTTTAAGATGTTCAAGTTATCTTGTATTCTTTCAATAGTCTATGAGAATTAATATAATCTCAGGTGTATGCTTGATCTAGTATCTCCTAGGGATTAAATGATTAATCACAAGGAAAAGTGATGTCTGGCTAATGTACAATTTCTAACAAATTTGGTCAACATTTCATTCTACAGTCTGCACTTTTGTTCCACACTTCTACCAGCTATTGTAGTGTAGAAGTAACTGGTGAAAAGGATGACATCATATTCCTTTTTGCTTTCCTCATAGTCAATTGTTACTCGCCATTTTTTCTTTTCTTTCAAAATGTTTTAGGATTTAGTAGTGAAGTACTATTCCTTTGGGAGAAATTTCAAAATAGAATCTTTAATTTTGATTGTAAATTGGATTTCTGATGTCCTTGGTGAAAATATTTTTCTATAAAATTTAGTTTTTAAATTTTTATAGGTGACACAGAAGAATATTGGAACAATGAATCTAATGTGTTGTTGAGGTTATGAAACAAATAATTTGAAAGTCGTGTTGAGCTCCAAAATCATGTCCAAAAATTGCTTTAGACCAAGGATATGTGATGATTGTAAGGAATTTTAAACTAAGTATTATGTGATTTTTGGTTGTGATAGAGGTGGAAGACATTGTGCCACTATTGTTGATGATAAGAAGAAAAGATTAACTGACTCTCGCTCATAAAATGCGTATTTGAGGTACCTGGGAAGAGAAAAGGAAATGTTTCCGTGATAGAGATTAAGAATTTATCACATAATCATGAACCCTCTGAAGATATGTTGGGACATCATTACTTTGTTTTGTAGGTTTTCAAACGATGATAAGCAAATTGTGAAAACATCATCCATAATTGGCTCGGTGCCACGGGAGATAATGTTCACATTTTGAAAAAGCAATCTAAATTTTTAAGCAAATTCTAGAACGATATTTAATTTTATAGCTAAGACAAAAAAAGGCTAGCTTTGATGCAGCTATGATAATTGAAGCTTTGTTTGAAGAGCTTGGTAATGTTGGATTTCTTTTTCACATTGAGTGTGACGAAGATGGTCATTTTACTCATTTACTTTTCATACATCCTAGCTCATGAACTGCACAAATACAACACACTTGTTCTTGATATTAATGGGATATCATGTTTTAATACATTATTTTCTCTTACATTGTGTTTATGCAAAAAGAGGAAGAGGAAGGAGAATATTACATCTAGGCTCTTGAATAATTTTAAAAAATTTTGGCTTTGAGTGTGGAGAATTTTTCCCATAGTTATTGTTGCCGTTAGAGAGTTGGCATTGATGAATGCAATTAGAGTAGTTTTTCCACAAACTATGCATCTTTATGTATAGCGTATAGAATAGAATGTCCTAGCTAAAGTTAAAAGTTTTTCGAGAGTGAAGAATTTGATGAGTTTTTGTCAAGTTGAAACATTGTGAAATATTCTATTGATGAAGTGAGCTTCTAATGTTATTTTGATTTTCAAAGGGATCGGACAATATGTTCTAAAGGAGAAACATATTGCCAAACCAACACACAAAGTAACATTGAGCATAATCAAACATTTCTTGAACATAAAGCATTAACAATCATAATGTTTTGAACAAAGTCAAGTAACATATGGTCATAAGCAACTCAAACATAATGTTAACACAAAAAAGGTCATCACAAGCATAGAATACACTCAAAGAGAGTTTGCCAGCCTGGCCTGAATAGCTGTGACGTGGACCTCAGTAGGAGCGAGAGAAGTGGGAATCCTCTAGATGACCCGATTGGAAAGTTGTCTGATGTCATCACGAACACATGTGATGGCATCCAAAATCCTCTGGACCCAAGAAGGTTCGCGCTCGTCCAATCTCGGTCGTGGTTGTTGACGTCGGGCTTCTCTCACCGCGGCTTGACTCACCTCTTCCCTTGCATTGCTCGGTCCCTCTCTGGCATTGCTAGGTCCAGCTCCAGCATGGCTTCGCATGGCCTCAGTCACAGCTTGGCTCTCATGGATTCTTTCTTCTTTCTCAATCACTCGGCGTTGATGCATTTCACTCTCGTTTCGGAAACCGACACGGGTGAACTTCGACTCTTAGATGAAGCACATCTTCTTCACCGGAACCCTTATGTCTCGTAAAAAGTCCACTCTCGGATGAAGAAGGATAAACATGATCGAAACAGTGAAACGAAGGTGATGGATCGAGAGCCATCACGCACAGCAATGAGAAAGAAGTGGACCCAATCAAAATTGACGTCATTCAAAAGAACGTGAAACAATCGGATGTCATCCTTGTTCACGATGCCATGGTTTGAGTCTCGGGGCAACAAAACATAACAAAAAATATATTGAAGCACCTTTTGAGTCAAAGTGAGATTAGTGACACTCGAGTTTGAGGAGTTGGCGTACAAAAGTCTATGAACAGGTACACCAAGTTGTTTCCAAATGGATTTGTCCTCAAAAGTGTTATCAAAGTTTCCACGGACATCACCTGACAGAGACCAAGAATAGCCGTCAAGATTTTTGCTTGAACAGTAAAGGTTTTGCCGTCAACGTGGACAACCAAGTCTGGACTATCTCCAAGAGTAATGCGGAGACTCGAATAAAATTGACGAATAAGATTTGGACTATAAAAATCGTATTTCAAAGAGATAAATTTGGGCAAACCTTGTCGTTGGAAGGGGATTTTGCACGGGGCGTAGGTATCCTCGTGAAAGAGAAACGGGTCAACAATCTTTGGCAAGATAATCTCCCGATCAAGAAACTCTTTGTGAAACTTCTCAACGTCCGCGGTGACGGTGAATCGAATGTTGGTTTGAGTGTGGACGTAGGTTTGGCCGTCCAACCTCCAAATGGCACCCACGACAGGGATGTGTGGCAGCTTCTCAGTTCTTCTCCTTGGCATTTTGATGAATTTGATGATGAATTTGAGAGATATTGGAGAAATTTGAGAAAATTTGGCCAATAAACGATGATAAACGAACCTATGGTTCTTGCGCCGCTGAGGAAGACGAAGGATGTTAGATCTGATTTTGGCTTCAGATCTGTTATTTGAGGGGCAAAACCGAATAAAAAATCGATTAAAATTTAAAACAAAATTGATTTCAAATGATAGGCACATGCAGAAACTTGTTATGATGGTTCTTATCGATTATAATGGAAATACACAAATCGATTAATTTAAGAATTTCAAAGAACGCGTTCAGTATTACAAAAATCGATTTTTCTTAAAGTGGTTTAATCGATTAGGATAGGTTTCGCAGGCCAAAATTTACTCAGATCCAACTAATTGATTAGAAGGAACAACAAAAATTGATTAAAGTGCAGTGGATGCCAAAAGTCAGTTTTGAAGGGTGCTGAAACATTGGTTTTGAATGGGTTTTCCAAGAAAGATGGTTTTCTAAAAAAGAATCATCAATTTCAATCAAGTGATTGTGCCAAGAGGGGAAATACCTTTAAGAAAGACTATGCAAAAAAGATTTATTGCGTCTCCGACACTCAAGTTAGTAACAATAAACATACAAATAAATTAGTTCATTGAGATGTCAAAAATACCAAGTTCAATCTTAATGTGGAAGAAACTCTCCCTACTAAGGGGTTTCGTGAAAATGTTCGTCAATTGATGTTTCGTTTCAACAAACTAAATTGTGACATATCCCTTTTGGACATGATCTCGAATGAAGTGATGCCTAATCTAGATTCAAATATACGCACTTTCAAAGAAAAATTGAAAGAAGATAGTGTTTATTTACTGATATGAGTCAAAGAACTATGCAATTACCAAACATGGCAAACATCGAAAACTACCAGCCACCCTTTTATGCTAAAATTCTTTGGCAGGACAAAACTTAAAGAGATTTTGGGAAAGTCTTCCGAATTTTCATTACAAATTTATGGGATTTTTGTTACAAATTTATGAGATTCAGAAATTGACTTTTGGTGACAATGTGTTGTTAATTTGTAAACACTACTTAGATTATTATCAATTTGCATCTTTCAAAAATGATGTTAATATAATTTACTTATGTAAATATGATCTGTGCAGCGCACGGGTGTGATACTAGTATAACAACCAAAAAAGGATTAAGCTATTTCTACCTCAAAAAGTATATCCACTTTGTACTGTTTGGTTTGCACCAACATTTTGTGATAGTGTAATGCTATTCTGATGGTTTGCATTGTCACAAAAATTCAGTGCATGTTACTTTGTTTGAACTAGAATTTTGTGTCAGTATGAACATTTAAGATTGTGCATTTCATTGGGATATAACTTGAGGAACATTTCTTGATGTACAGTGTACCCTAGCATGGTTGAAAAAAAGTGAGAGTACTTTTGACAAAAATCAAATTCTTTAATGGGATTTTAGGCAACATGTCGTCTATTGTATTTGGAGCATGCTACATGTATCCCAAAATTTGTATTCCATTTGTATACTAAAAGCATGTATCAACATTTTGATGGTTCACACTGACACAAAGTATTGGTATGTTAACAAAAATTTACACTGACACAAAGTGTTGGTTCGTTAACAAAAATTAGTATTATACCAACACAAAATGTTAGTGCATTGCTACAGTGTACAAAATGGGATACAAATAGCATTGTACATTGCATTTAGGTGCAAGCTGGCGATTCAAATACTTCGTATTATTTTAGATTCAACCATGCTACATATACACAAAAAAAATAATCCAAAGATACACCAAAAATATACAACTAACATTTAGAATAAAGGTGCATACCTACTAGTACAAATAGCTTATCCGAATATTATGAGCAATGCTAGGGGTACATCCCATTTGTCCCACACCCCCTTCTCTGACACCCATTTTTATCTACTTTTTATTTATTTAATTTTTTTAAAAATTCTTACCATTTTTGTGGTAATGGAAGAGGTGGGGTACAAATGGAGTACACCAAATTGGTGTATGGTGTACCCCTTTGAATATTATTGCTAATTTACGCTTAGATCGGCTGATCGACTTCAATTAAGTCGTCTATTGTATTTAGGTACAGAAAGTTGCGATTCAGATATAATTGCTAATTTACACTCCGATCGGCTGATCGACTTCAATTTCGGGCCAAGGATGAACCGCAACCGTGGCAGAGGCGCCGGAGGCCGCTCGACTGCTAATCATGGAGTGCGATCTTCACGTTCGCCTTTTCATTCTACCAGCTCAATCCCTGTAATCTATTGTCTCCTTCCAACTTATATTAAAATTCAAAAGTTTTGAACTACTTGTCGTTAGTACTATTGGTAAATGAAAAGAGTGAAATGGATCTCATAATTTGTGTTTTGCGCATTGTTAAGCATTCACTAGTAGTTAATTCTCAAAATATGGCATTGAGACCAAACCGAGTATGTTCTCTAATTGAGAGGTTAGAAATTCTTGGAACCATTAGTTTTAAAAAAAGATAACCTTAGCTTCCACAAGCGTAACTGCATATCAACAATACCAATTAAGATTCCCTAAAATATTTGGGTTTTCCTGAGAGAGATTGGGTTTGAAATTAGGAAAAGATGAACACTGTCATTTATTAATAAATACGGAGTATATGTTTAATTTGGTGGTTAAATGTTTCTTCGACTTAAAACCTATTTTGTTTCTTGATTCCAGTCTTATCCTTAACTGAAATTTGCCGAAAATTAGTGTGCGCCCTTAAATGTTTACCGGCTAATATAGAATTAGGTGGAGTTTCTTGTAGATGTCTTGAAATCTTAATTATCTTTGTTTAACATAATTTATTTATTGCATTCAATACTGCTGATCTGATGGGGTGTTTTTTTCAAATGTGTAGAATGAAAGTGTCTGGCAGCCTCAAGGATCCTCCTTGGAGCATGGTGCTGAATCCTTACCATCCTATAGAGCTCGGGAAACAAAAGTTGATGGTATCGCGGAGCAAGTTGCTAGTGTCCCCCCATTAAACAATCCAGACACACATGATGATAATCCCCGAAGTACATATTCTAATGTAGGAACTGCTATTCAGGTGATCCCTGATCGTAACATAGGGCAGCCACCTTCCCTTTCTAATTCTGGATCTCAACAGACTAATTTACTGTCATCATGTCCGAATGTGAAAGAGTGCTCACCTCTCGCCAGATCTGTTGCGGAACATGAGAGTAATCGTAGTCATGTTATTGATAGTCTGGTTATGCGAGGACAATCTTCACGTCCATCTAGTCATTCTACTAACCGCTCAGCTCCTGTAATATATTCTCTATTTATTGAATTAATCCTGTTCATAATTATGTAGGGTGCAAATTGTTGGCGGCAACATGGAGAATCCCGCTTGACACATAATACTACATCATATTCATGTGAAAGGCCGGGCAGGGAAACATTTGCTGATGCTATCTCTGGGCGATTTGCAAGTATGACCCCGTTAGACAATCCATACAAGCATGATGTTAGTCCACAAAGTATATCCTCTCAAGCAAGAACTCCTAAGCAGGTGAAACCTTATAGTGGCATGGACCAACCATTTTCTGCTTCTTCATCCGGATCTAGACACAAGGATTCCCCATCGTCTTGTCTGTCTGGAAAACTGCTATCACCGGTTAGTAGCTCCATCTTGGCAAATAATTGTACCAGCACTCATACTTCTAGTTTTTAAAGCATACATATTGATATAAACCGATCTGAGCATTGTGTTTCAGGATCACACAGGTAATGTTGTTTTTGACATATGCCATAAGAATAACCCGAACACTTTCAAGCTACAACCCTCGCTGTTGGAGAAGAATAGAGAGAAAAGGAAAGAAACTAAGCACAGTATGGATGCTCAAGACATCAAAATCTTAGGTGATGGTATGCTTCTTTTAAAGAGTTTCATCCCCTTGATGGCTCAGGTTATGCTCTATCCTGTGCTTTTTCATTGATTGTCTCCTGTGTTTCTTATTTGGAGGAAAAAAAAGTACGGCAATACCATTTCCTTATTTGCTTGGAGTAATGGATGTGTTTTTTAAAGCGGGTTTGTTTTTGCTCATTTAATGTGTTTTGACAGGTCAGGTTAGTGAAAACTTGCCGGGAGTTGGGCATTGGTTCCGGAGGATTCTACCAGCCTGGCTATAGGGATGGAGCAAAGCTGTCCTTGAGGATGATGTGCCTTGGTAAACACTGGGATCCTGAAACCAGCAAGTACAATGATCAAAGGCCTTTTGATGGTGCAAAGCCTCCAGTAGTACCCGATGAATTTTGCAATTTGGTTAAAAATGCACTATGCCAGACCCGATCATATTTGGAAAAACAATTGAAATATAAAGACATAGATACTGTTCTTCCCTTAATGTCACCTGATATCTGCATTGTCAATTTCTACACAGCTACTGGCCATCTCGGTCTACATCAGGTTCCACACCTAATCATTTGCTTTTATACTATAGCAACATGTGGTCTTTTTTTCAGTGTCATTTTTGTCGTTCTTTTGAACGGTAGCAGGATAAAGATGAAAGTCGGCAAAGTTTGGACAAAGGGCTTCCTGTGGTCTCATTTTCCATCGGTGATACTGCAGAATTTTTGTATGGCAGCGAGAAGGACATAGACAGGGCTAACAAAGTGTTGCTGGAGTCAGGGGATGTGTTAATCTTTGGTGGCAAATCAAGGCTAATATATCATGGTGTGAGCTCCATTAAACTAGGAACTGCTCCTAAGAATCTATCAGGCAAAACTAATCTTCAACCGGGTCGTCTGAATCTCACTCTTAGACAGTACTGAGAATGTTATAGGTACTTCCGTGTGTTTTCTATGCTACAATAGACCATTGTGGCCCCGCCTTATGTAACTCTGTTTTGCTTTCTACTTTTACCTTGTCTTTTAGATATTTTGTTTTTGACGTAAAATCTGGGTGGAATGCGTCTCTTTTTCATTTTAGATTGGAACAAATTTTTCCAATACTAATTGGAGGTGTGGAGCTTTATCTGCCTTTAAACACTTATTGTGTTCCGTTTGCCTAATCTGATTTGATTTTATTTTTTGGAGATCTAATTTGGTCAGATCTTATTTGAATGAATTTCATTATATCTAAATTCGATTCAAATTAAACTTAAAATTTTTACCATAACTTATTAACTTTTAAAAAAGTCTAGTGATCATTTATATTATAACTCATTCGTTCCCATGACATTGGGAATCAATGTCATGGGATGACATGGGGGTGCTTCGGTGTTTCGTTCGTTTGTAAAATTAACGGTTCCCATCCTCCTAATCTCCCAGTAAAACCCCCACTCCGCCCCAACCCAAACACACCCCTCACCCCTTTAATTGCTCCCCCAAATTAATTTTGATTTTCGAATCAAAAAATTTTAACCAAAAACTTACAGGGTAACAAAAAATCAAATTGATGATAATGTATCCAAATGTTTTGGAAAATCTCTTTATACATTACATTCGTGGTCTCGAAGTATGGTTTATCTTCATCGTTATTCGTTCGTTACATATTAAAATGTTTAACCCCGAACGACTTTTAATCCTGGACATGGCAATGTACAACTGTTAGTAACTAAACACCAGTAATTTTAGTAGCACTTCAACCTTGGAAAGTGATTATCCTTGACTCTTATTTATAGGCCTTGTTTGGAATCTGGCAGTTGGTTATTGGCTGTTTATGTTGGCTGGTTTGAATGACTGATTGAGTTAGCTGTTTTGACTAGCTGTTTCTATTAGTTGTTAAAAATTAAATGTTTGGCAACTTTAGCTGTTTATAGTTAGCTATTTGTGAGTAAAATTAATTGTAAGGACATCCCTCCATTTATGTTAATTTGTGTAAGATTTTAAATTTGTTTAATTTGATAAAATACACACATTATACAAGAAAATGCTTTACATTTTTTTCTTGGACAAAAAAGGCTAGTTTGTTTTTTTAATTTAAGAAATGAGAATTCACATTTATACTCCCTCCGTCCCAAAATAAACTTCTCCTTTCGTCTTTTATTTGTCCCCAAATAAACTTCTCTTTTCCCTTTAAAAATCCCTTTTACTTCTTACTTTTTCATACCCTACCTATCGCATGCATCATACCTTTTTACTAATAATTTACATATCACATTTTACTTTTACACTTCACATCAAGGGTATTTTTGGAAAGTCAACACCAAAATATCCCTCCCTAAATTTTCCAAAAAGTCAAAAAGGGAAGTTTATTTAGGGGCGGAGGGAGTATTTTATAAGTAGATTTTTTTTCATTTATCATTCTACAAATAACAATCATGCATGATATATTTTATTTTATAGTTTTTAAAATATGATATCATAAATTTATAAAAATACTCTACACCAATTTTAAATTAAAAAATTAAATAAATTATCGAGACAAGCATCACAATCTGAAGTATCAAACATCTTTTGAGACGACATGAGCATTAGAAGTGACAAAAATCAAACAAGCTCTCGACTTTTTACTAACGAGATGTTCTCGCCATCAAACTAAAAGTAATATTCTTACGGATATTTCTCATTTCCTGACTTCTGATCATCACAATCTCCACACAACAAAAATTAATAGAAATCGCAGCATAAAAAATTGAATTTTTACTAGTACCCAAATTTTCAATCAAAATATCGGAGCAAAAAAAATGTCTTTACATACGTAATAGTTGGATCTCTATGTGAGATGATGTAAGATCTATGAACCCTTTACATAATTGTGCAGCAAGAGAAGAAAAAAAAAAAGAAAAAAACAAAATCGCAACAAAAAAACATGAGAAGTAGCAAGAGAAACAAAAAAAAAGAATTACAGATGAGACACAGAATTGCAGAAAAATAAAGCAGAATCGTAGCATTTAAAAAAGGAAGAATAGCAGAACAAGAGAAGCAGGAAAAAATTATGCAAATCTATAGCGTTCAATTATTTATCACGGGATTCGCAAAACATCTTGATCATGACAATAATCTCGTGCTAAGTGCTAATCTTGGCTAGCTTTCTTCAAAATCCCTTTTTTAAATTATGCTCCAACCTTTAGTCTTAACTCGTGATTGGGAACCGTAGAACATTTGATGGTTTTTTAAGATTTTGATGGTGGGTATATCAGCAGCCAAACTATAGCTCATATTAGATTGGCATACAGTATCTGCAATATAGTAAGGAGAATGCTAAAGAGGCACCACATGTGCCTCCAAGCATGCCACCCAATATATTTACATTTTAATTTTTTTCAATTTTCCTTTTGGGTGGCTTTTCATCTCCCGCCCCCAAAATTCCCAAATCTCCATTCTCCCGGTTCAACCTCCACAACCTCACCGTCCTTCTTCTCCGTTCTTCTTCTCTGGCATCTGCGACGAATCCACACCCTGTCTTGGAGCATAATCGCAAACGTCAAATCCAGCTAAAGCTCCTACTCCTGAAGGATTGATTCCGCATCTGCAAAGTAAGAATACTTTTCTTAATTATTTTCATTAGATTTATTACATGTGATAATTTGGGGAAAGAGCAGTGAAACCATAGGATTACACATTTGGGGGATGCAGTGTCTAAATTAGGACTTCTATGTAGTAAATGGTTCATAAATATAAACTCTGTTCATAAAAGATTTCTGAAACTTGACTGGTCATGGATAGAATTTAGAGGCTGCAAATGTTAAAAGATCTCTGAAGCTGCATAAAAGAGACGGCAGTGGAGGGAGAATTGTAAGGTTGAAGATCTCTGGATCCGCATAAAAATGTTAAAAGTTAAATGTTAAACTGCAAAAAATGTTAAATTTTTACAGGCTGCATAAAAGAACTCTGAAACTTCTCACCAGTTAATATGATGGAGAAGTAGTTCCAACTTTTATTTTTGCTTACTGTGTGAATTGTATGGCATAGATGGTTAAGTTCTGTTATTTGAACTTCATATCACATTATTATCTGTGAAAGAGGCCTGCTTGTTATTTTTGCTTGCTTTCTGTGAATTGTATCTCATAGACGATTAACGCCTATTTATTGAACTTCATACATGATTAGTGTCTGTGTAGATATTTAACTTCTGTTAATGCAACTTCATTTCAGACGATGTCTTTGTTAATCCCTATTAGTGCTCATTTTGGAGCTCAATACTCAGTTTGTTCTGACATCCGTGAAGCCGAACACAAAGAAGTACCCAGCTCTTAAGGACAAAGATCTTGGCCAGAGCTAGTTATGTCACACATTCTTAAGAGGGGAGGTCACGAAGTGCACGTTCAAGCATGTATGAGAGAAGTATGTTGCAATTTTAGGGGTGGAAAGAAAAGAACCAATATTTAGCTTTTTTACTTTACAATATTAGGGGTCTTTAATTTTTGTGAAACTCTTTGTAATGGGTTTTGTGTTTTGTAATGTATTTTTTGGGGAAACACTTTAGATTTTTTGAAAGCTTTGTAATGGGGCTTTTATAATCATGAATTTCTACTTGTTAATGCACAATTTGTTAATGTATGTGATGACTGATTTACATTAGTTTATGACTGATTTACAGATTTACTTTCAGAGCCCTCACAGAGAATAATTGTCTATTTTACCCATTACACAGAGATTTAATGTATGTGACGACAGAGTTACAGAACTATATGCACATACACCATCTTCAGAATCTTATCACATATGTAGGGGTCTTGTAAAGGTAAAAAGAAAGTTAAAATGCATACATTAGATTTCATGGTGCTCACATGGAATAACTGTCTATGTCACACACTTCACAGAGACTTAATGTACGTGAAGACAGAGTTACATCAGGTTTACATCTGTTTATGTGCATGGAACTCAGAGAAAGTTATCATATTTGTTACATACTTTACACAAAAAGCAAAAACAAAAAGCAATGTGATTTACAGTTCTCGTGCTCATTCCAAAAATGAGAGCAAAGTTCTAGATTTGATGCAAAAAAAGATCTGTTAAAAGTCAATGTAGTGAAAGGCCACAAATGAGGCAAAATGAGAACAAAGCTCTAGATCTTGTGTTTTGCTCTTGTTATTTCATTGGCGACTACACACAAATATAACACTTCTAGGAGTTCCATCTTTGGCTTTGCGAGTTGTCCTAGTCCGCATTGGAAATCATACACTTCGAGCATAAGCCAGATAGTGTTCTCAGATTTCTTCAATGCTTGTAAACTTCATCCCCACTTCAGGCACGCTACCTTTATTTCCTTTAGAAGGACATTGACCATTGTTCCGGACATCATTGTTAATGTCATCTGTGTTCTGTCCGATCTCACCACTCGCCTGTTCTTGCCCTTCGTCGTTAAATAAATATTGAAAGCAAAGATCATTAAGAAACAAATCTGGTTCAAAAGTTGCAAAAAAACAGCACCTTTAATATAATACAACGCCTGACTATGAAGAAAACAAAAATACACCAAATGCAGAGTGCATACAGATTATTAGCATCTGTGACAAGGACAAACCCTAGGTTCACAGAACTTTAATCTCTGTAACACCAAAACAAAACCGTATTTTTTCACTACTTCAAATGAATATAGAATGGGGTCTAAATATCAACACTTACAACTGGGCTGCAAGTCATATAAAACCAGGTCTTCTTCTTCACCACCAAAATCATGTGGTTGATCATTCTCAACATGTGTAACAATACATGTTTGTAAGTCCATAATCACCAAATACCCTATGTACTCCACAAAAATTCAAAAAATTATTGCTATACAAATTGACTAAAAATGGAATGAAGAGAAGAGATTGACAGAGGGATGGTCGTGCTACAGGGGTTGGCGCATCACAGATATGAAGAGGAAGATAATAAAAAGAAGATATTACTTGCAGGAAGGAGAGGATAGAAAAGGGGAGGCCAGGAGAGCCGTGCGACTGGCTGGCGCAGAAGAGCAGAGCCGCTAGAGAAAGAAAAAAAAGTCGTAGAGGAAAGAAAAAAAGAAAGAGAAAAGGTAAAAAAAAGCTTAAATAAGGGGGCAGCAAAGGAGGCAGCGGCGGGTGCACTGTAGCACGGTCCTATAGTAAACTTATTCCTCAGAATTGCAATTTGACATCCTCTGTGTTAGACAAGGCGTGAAACTCTAGAGGGGGTGAATAGAGTTGTTGAGAATGATTACCGATTTTCGCAGGATTAATAATATAAACCTAAGTGCAGCAGAAATAAAAGAGAGAAGTCAAAGAACACACCTATGTATACTGGTTCACCACTTCGTGGCTAGTCCAGCTCCTCGAGAGACTCTCTCGAAGCTAACACTACTTCCGTAAAGCTTACGGGTGCTTAACAACCCGTTTACAACTCGAAAACTTGAGTCCCACAAGCCTCGACAAAACCGCTCGTAGATATGCCCTCTACAAGACTTCATACTCAAGACTCAAGTCACATAAGTCTTATACAATAAGAAGAAAAATCTTCTTCAGCCTCACAACAATAACTCTCACAAGAGTAGAAATGAGAAAAGATTAAGCTTTATGGATGACAAGAACACTCTTTTGAAAACCCTTAGTTTTCTCTCAAAATATATCAATTTGAGGAAGAAAAGAATGGAGGATTGTAACCTCAAGATTGGGGGAGTTTAGGAGTGCTTGTACATTGTAAAAATGACGAAGGAATGAAGTTTATAAAGAGGTTAACGAATATGTCCAAAATCGGAGATGTGTAGTCTGAAATAATCGAAGTAACAGATTTGGAGTATGATGAGAAAGACGAAGTAACAGATTTGGAGTAGCAAAGAAACAATCAGAAGTACGGAGTAACATACTCCTTTAGAAAATCAGAAGAGACAGGTGCATTACGAAGCATGTATTTTGTGCGTTATTTGTGAGACTGTGTTTTCTAAAGGATCTGAAATTTCTAAATGATTTGAAATTTCTTTTGTGGCTAGGTTGGAGACACAATGGAGACCTAGATTGGCAAGTCACGACCATGGACAGCAGACAACCATTAATGGAGAGCTGAACATCTTGGAACTACTTTTGGACAAAGGTACGTGGAGTATAGCAACCATATTTGAGGCAATCAAGTTAGTTAGAACTACCTGGCACTTCATTGTTTATAGACGAGGAATGAATTAACTGTACGTTTCACATAAATAATCTATTGTTTTCATAGATGTCATTTCAAAAGAAGGCAAAGAGGGGGGGAGTCATTGTCAATCTTTCAGCTTCTGACTATTCATGGAATTGGGGGAGTAGTCAAATAAACGCATTGTTGCTAACAATCCAACACACTTTTTAGGACAGCCCATGGCATTCACTTCTCCACTTTAACCTTTTTGAGCGAGGTCTTAGTTGGAGTGATGTTAAAGTCATCACCCAAAATTTTTTATTTCTATCGTCTCAAAAATGTTTAAACTTTTCTCTTCTTAACAACTCCTATTGTTGGGGGGCGCTTGGGAGTGAGGTTCCTTGATTTTTTTTATGTATATGTGGTTATGATTTACATTTTACACTAAAATTTTTAATAACCGGATAATATGCTATATGAAATTGGTCTTATTTTTTTGTGTGTTCTTAATGCTATCAAGGAATGGAGGATGTTCAAGCTATTTTGTCTCTCTATTAATTTCTTTTCTTGAAATTGGAGGATTATGTCTCTACTGCAACTATAATTTATTCTAAAATATGTTAGTTTTAGCACTAATTTTTAATTATATTTGGGCACTTTTTTCATTGGGTATGCGGTCATAGTTGAATTATATATCTTCAACTATGTTTATCATGTTAGCCTATAGAAATTTGAATGAATGTTTACGTACAAAGCTCTAAAGAGAAATCTCAAGAGTATAGTGACTATGGAACAAATCATGTAAAAGGCAAATCTTTCTATATTCAATGGTAAGATGAGTTTAGGAATTGTGTACCCACCCATTTGATAAGCTACAGTAATCAGAAAATTTGGACCGCACAGTCCAATAAAAATATCTGGTAAGGCTTCCCACGTACTCATTTTAGTGTGCGGATTACGATTACTGTAGATTGGATATTGGACTCCGTATTTTAGATGTCCAGAGAGAGAGCGTGTGGAGAATTACGCCGGATCAGCAGATAAAAGTAGGTTCTTTATAGAGAATTACAATATAGCATTCCGGGTACTGGACGAAGCTTTAAAGAACTGTGTAAATGTTAATAACAGAACTGGTACAGGATGTAGCAGTAATATTGCTGTCATTCGTGATGTAGACGAAGAGAACCAAGGATCTCATGCCACCAGAACAACTAAGAAGAAGAGCGTGACAAAGAAAAGAAAGGTTTGCCTCAGAATCAGCTCTCTGTTTGTCAACATAGTTTTGCTACATTATTCTACTGCCAATGCGCATGCCCCCAGGTACAATCTGAGCCCGAACTTGCAATTGTGGACTCTCATGAGGGTATGCACCAGGTGGTTTGTCCCCTCTGAATTCAGCCATTTCCATATTTTTTTTAAAGCCCGTTTTCCATGTTTTGTTATGCATCAAACACAATTGATATGTGATTTTTCCTTATCGTGACAAAAATATATTTTGTTATGATAAGACATCAAGCATTCTGTTTCACCCGCTTTTTATCCTATCATCAACAGCAGCAGCATCACCTTATTCCCAATTAGACATGTCACTGAAATGAAATTAAGTGTCCAATTAGTTTATAAGAAAACGGACTTAATCACGACGCCTAATGGGTTGCTGAATGTATCAATTGGGATTTTGGGGTGAGGGGGGGTGGTCATCTCTATTCTTTGTGTGTGAGTGTGTGCACTTTTTTCTGCAGCATTTATGTAAACTTTCATGGTTGTAGAATAACCTTACCTTGAGGATATGACCCTGAGTGGATATTATGGAGCACAACACAACGTGCAAGGACTGGTAGGTTGCTGCATATACCGATAACACACTAGCCCCTGATGTTTACTTTTAAATTTTGTGATTGAAGCATATGTTAACATTTAGCAGTAGGGCTGAACAAACAAAACTGGATGAAACAGAAGCGGTGAAAACCAAACTGCTCAAAAGCAATTTTAACTTGTGCTGATGAGTTCTGATTTACCCGTAGAAGGTTCAGCTTGTTGTTTGGGGTTTATGCATTTTAACCGACTTAAGCTGACAGAAACCAAGGAAAACATGCAAAACCAACCAAAACCGACACAAACATGCCAAAAATAACCAAACCAGAATCAACTTGAGAGCATTTTTATAGCTGAAGTGCCGAACGGACCCAGACATAGTGATGGACACCCTTAGTTAGCCGGCTGTTGTATGATACAAAGAATGTGATTATTCCTACTGTCATGGAATTCCAGATACAACTAAATTTGATGGAGCCACCTAATGATGCTTATTATGTCAGCCCACAGAATATCCAGGGACTGGTACCAAGTGCCAATTATTTATTGCTGTTTTCTGTATTTGTATATTGCATAATCCTTCCTGCATAGCTGAACTTAAACACCATTGCTTAGAGAACCGTGTAACCATTTTAATGGTTGCAGGGGCGACTTACCTCAACTGCACCAGGTCATGATGGGTTTTTGGGTCTCAACAGTGCATGCCTATGCTGGTATTATTCTTTCAATATCAAAAATTCTACCCGCTCAAAATTTGGAAAATTGACATTGAGATCATCATACAATACATGGGCATCTGGATTACAGGCCAAGCTTTGGCTACAGCTTGCAGGTCAGTTCATTATCAAATTGAATGAAAATTTGCAGAAAGTAAATTTTGCCAGTTTTCCATTGATATTCCCAAGTAACGATATTGCTATGAATAATCCCAATTTTGCTAGCAAATATATATTCTTTTTTTATTATCAAAACTCTTCTTGGAATCAAGGGTGCTGTCATTTATTTCATCATAGTTTACAGCTCATTTGTATATACTGTTTCACTTTCATTTCAGGATGAACCTAACACGACATCTGCTCAATTGCATTGCGACAATATTTCGCATACGTGAGGAAATATCATGATGTAGTGCTCTCTTAGGAAAGGTTTTTGCAAACAAAGTATTAGGATATGTTTGGAATGCAGAAATGCCAGGGAAAGAAAATAGGGAGGACAATATAGTGGAACTTTTGAAATAATGAAAATTTGGGGAAAATAATTTGATTCCTCGTGTATATATAATATGTTATTATTGTAATTTAATAACATTTTCTTTATTATTTGATTATATGTTGTTATTGTAATTTAATTTTGGCAAAATTGACAAGAATACTCCCAGAAATTACAGATTTTACATAAATACTCCGAAATTTGTTTATTTACATCATTACTCCCACATTTCTCTTTTATTCACATAATTACTCCCAAATTTCATAGTGATCGTTAGTGTTACTTGGATGTGTTTTTTTTGCGTTAAGTGAGCAGTTAAAATGCAGACATGTATTTTTTTCATTCTGATATACCAAATTCAGCTCAATTTATTTTTCCCATCGTCTTTCTCACGTCTTAGTAAGCCTAATCATTGCCCTTATTTCCCATCACTTTTTAAAAAAAATTCAAAATTCAAATTTCATAAATCTTTTTAATGTTTAAAATCAAGTCTGTTCATACTAATTTAATTTGAATTCAATAAAAAAGAGATTAAGAACCCCGTATAAAAAGACGCACTCGAGGAATATCGATGATGAAGCAACCGCGGAGTAACGACGTAAACAATAGACAAATGTGGGAGTAACTATGTAAATAAACAAATTTGGGAGTATTTATGTAAAACTTGTAATTTCTCGGAGTGTTCTTGTGAATTTTGCCTTTAATTTTATCATTTTCTTTCATCAATGCTTTTCCTAATTGTGTAGTTTATAATTAGGCCGTGAAACACACGGGTACGAGTCTAGTTTGTTTTCAACATTGCCTCAAACAGCTCCATTTTGTGTGAGTTTGTGTAAGAATTTATATCATTGTGATATTGAAGCATCGAAATCTGTTAATCTAATTTTCAGGATTCTTCCCGTTTGAGGCATCGTAGAAACGACGTTTCTTGGCATGGTGCTATGTAATTAACCACTGTTTCGCAGCCATGGCGTGTTGGTTTCTTACAATGCCTCAAATGTATCAATTAAACGTGGGTGTGTGTAGGTAATTACAACTGATGATATCGCAGTAACAAAATCTGTTACTCTAATTTTCAGGATTCTTCCCGTTTGAGGCATCGTAGAAACGGCGTATCTTGGCATGCAATTAACCACCGTTTCGCAGCCATGGCGTGTTGGTTTCTTACAATGCCCCAAACGTATCAATTAAGTGGGGGTGTGTTTGTTTGTAGGTAATTACGACTGATGATATCGAAGTAACGAAATCTGTTACTCTAATTTTCAGGATTCGTCCCGTTTGAGGCATCGTTGAAACGGCGTATCTTGGGGTGGCGGTATGTAATTAACCACCGTTTTGCAGCCATGGCGTGTTAGTTTCTTACAATGTCCCAAACGTATCAAGTAAGTGTGGGTGTGTGTAATTACGACTGATGATATCCAAAGTAACGAAATCTGTTACCCTGATTTGTAGGCTTTTAGACATTTGAGGCATTTAAATGTGACCGTTAAGCTTTCCTTAATGCTTGAGTCATTGAAGAACGTATCGTATCTTGGCGTGGCATAACGGGATTAACGGTTGTTCCAACCCCTTTTATTATTATATTTATATTTATATTACTAAAGTGTAGCTATGAAGCCACAATAGAAATAATATTTAAAACCATCCGTATTTAGAAATAGCAAATTATCTGTATGTAGCTGTACGTATATATACATGTATATATATGTATATGTATGTTATATATGTGTATGTATACGTATATATATGTATATATTGCAAGAAATACTCATATAGACCTGTTGGTTGGGCACAAACTTTTGAATATATGGCTGTGAATCCTGTGATACAAAGGCAAAAGAGCTGGGAATAGTTAGTGTGATTTTTATCCCGTGATTTAGGCTTCCCAATTCCTTAAATCTTATTTAATATAGTTTTACAGTTTGAGGCATTGAAGAAGAGAACGTAACTTGGCGTGGTGTCACGGGATTAACCACCGGTATAGCAACCATGGTAATCTTCCTATATACAATGCTAAGAGGAGTGGATGAACAGTGTTCTCGCCCAAAATATTGGGCCGGGTCACTGACAAATGAGCCTGTTTAGTGGAGAGGTGAAAAATGAGGTGAGTAGAAACGCTAGCCGCTTTTTTGGTTTAGGGTTTCTATCATACCTCTTTTCATCCTCTCAAATCTCTGCTCCTTCAACAGATGTGGCTGCCGCTCTCCTTTTCGAATAGAGAGCGCGTATGGGAGAAGCTAATAGCTGGTCTCCTTTGTCTCCGCTCAATCCGTAAAAAAGGAACACGGGAACAGAGCTCTCCCTCTGCTTGTCGGAAACCATATATGGGGCTAGGATTTTGAACGTAGCACCTCTTCAACGATCAGATCTTGCTAGGATGAAGGCAAGGGAAGGCCAGGTATGTACACATCTTCGATTATGTACACACCGCCGCGGGTAAGTAGCCTCGCCCTGTTTGGAATTTTTTTTCTTTCCAATTTGGAGGTTCCGACTGTGATGCTTTTATGATTTTTTCATTTTCTTACCAGTTTCTTTTGTGGCTAGATTGAAGTGTGTATGGGGGTCTGCCTGGGTGTAATTGTAGACCTTGGACAGGACTCAAGAAGGAAGATGTTGGGGAAGAAGTAGGTAAAAAGTGAGGTTTAAACATGTCAAAATTAATTTGGAAACATAGAGTCATACATTTTGAGAAAAAACTCCGGAACTAAGTGTAAGAAACCAAACTAAATGTGCCTTAGAGCATTTAAAGATGCTTTTAACAGTCCACTGTGACATGGCATGGGTTATGGCATGGGTTATAATGTAAGATAAAAAAGAGGTTGGGTTTCAAATTTTGCCCTCCCTACTCTTCTTCTTCCCATGCCCCCATCCTCCCTCCCATATAGATTTTTCTTAGGAATTTGATGAGAAAGACGAAGTAACAGATTTGGAGTAGCAAAGAAACAATCGGAAGTACGGAGTAACATACTCCTTTAGAAAATCAGAAGAGACAGGTGCATTACGGAGCATGTATTTGGTTCTTTATTTGTGAGCATGTGTTTTCTAAAGGATCTGAAATTTCTAAATGATTTGAAATTTGTTTTGTGGCTAGGTTGGAGACACAATGGAGACCTAGATTGGCAAGTCACGACCATGGACAACAGACAACAATTAATGGAGAGCTGAACATCTTGGAACTACTTTTGGACAAAGGTACGTGGAGTATAGCAACCATATTTAAGGCAATCAAGTTAGTTAGAACTACCTGGCACTTCATTCTTTATAGACAGAGAAATGAATTAACTGTACGTTTCACATAAATAATCTATTGTTTTCATAGATGTCATTTCAAAAGAAGGCAAAGAGAGGGGAGGAGTCATTGTCGATCTTTCAGCTTCTGACTATTCATGGAATTGGGGGAGGAATCAAATAAACGCATTGTTGCTAACAATCCAACACACTTCTTAGGACAGCCCATGGCTTTCACTTCTCCACTTTAACCTTTTTGAGCGAGGTCTTAGTTGGAGTGCTGTTGAAGTAATCACCCAGAATTTTTTATTTCTATCGTCTCAGAAATGTTTATACTTTTCTCTTCTTAACAACTCCTGTTGTTGGGGGATGCTTGGGAGTGAGGTTCTCTGACTTTTTTATGTATATGTGGTTATGATTTACATTTTACACTAAAATTTTTAATAACTGGATAATATGCTACATGAAATTGGTCTTATTTTTTTGTGTCTTCTTGATGCTATCAAGGAATGGAGGATGTTCAAGCTATTTTGTCTCTCTATTAATTCCTTTTCTTGAAATTAGAGGATTATGTCTCTACTGCAACTATAATTTATGCTAAAATTATAGTTAGTGTGATTTTTATCCCGTGATTTTAGGCTTCCCAATTCTGTAAATCTTATTTAATATAGTTTTACAGTTTGGGGCATTGAAGAAGAGAATGTAACTTGGTGTGGCGTGGCGTCATGGGATTAACCACCGGTATAGAAGCCATGGCAATCTTCCTATATACAATGCTAAGAGGAGTGGATGAACAGTGTTCTCGCCCAATATATTTGGCCGGGTCACTGACTAATGGGCCTGTCGGGTGGAGAGGTGGAAAATGAGGTGAGTAGAAACGTTGGCTGCTTTTTTGGTTTAGGGTTTCTATCATACCTCTTTTCAACCTCTCAAATCTCCCCTCCAACAAACGTGGCCGCTGCTCTCCTTTTCGAATAGAGAGCGTGTATGGGAGAAGCTAATAGCTGGTCTCCTTTGTCTCCGCTCAATCCGTAAAAAAGGAACACGGGAACAGAGCCCTCCCTCTGCTTGTCGGAAACCATATATAGGGCTAGGATTTTGAACGTAGCACCTCTTCAACGATCAGATCTTGCTAGGATGAAGGCAAGGGAAGGCCAGGCATGTACACATCTTCGATTATGTACACATCGCCGCGGGTAAGTAGCCTCGCCTCTGTTTGGAATTTTTTTTCGTTCTAATTTTGAGGTTCCTACTTTGATGCTTTTACAATTTTTTCATTTTCTTACCAATTTCTTTTGTTGCTAGATTGAGATTTTCATTTTTTAGGTATAAAATTTCAGATCCTAGAACTGGCGAGTAGAATACATGGCACATTTTGTTGTTTCTTAAAGCATCTTCAATGCTCGGGTGCTTTTTACAGGGCTGTGCTAGGTGACCTGTGAGAGGGATTGAGATTGATTGTTTTAATTTAATATCAATGATGTGTGAAAAATGAAGAGAAAGAGACAAAATTGTGTATGGGGGTTTGTTTGGGTGTAATTGTAGACCTTTGACAGGACTCAAGAAGGAAGATGTTGGGGAAGAAGTAGGTAAAAAGTGAGGTTTAAACATGTCAAAATTAATTTGGAAACACAGATTCATACATTTTGAGAAAAAACTCCGGAACTAAGTGTAAGAAACCAAATTAAATGTGCCTTAGAGCATTTAAAGATGCTTTTAACAGTTGACTGTGACATGGCATGGGTTATAATGTAAGATAAAAAAGAGGTTGGGTTTCAAATTTTGCCCTCCCTACTCTTCTTCTTCCCATGCCCCCATCCTCCCTCCCATACAGATTTTTCTTAGGAATTTGATGAGAAAGACGAAGTAACAGATTTGGAGTAGCAAAGAAACAATCGGAAGTACGGAGTAACATACTCCTTTAGAAAATCAGAAGAGACAGGTGCATTACGGAGCATGTATTTGGTTCTTTATTTGTGAGCATGTGTTTTCCAAAGGATCTGAAATTTCTAAATGATTTGAAATTTGTTTTGTGGCTAGGTTGGAGACACAATGGAGACCTAGATTGGCAAGTCACGACAGCAGACAACCATTAATGGAGAGCTGAACATCTTGGAACTACTTTTGGACAAAGGTACGTGGAGTATAGCAACCATATTTGAGGCAATCAAGTTAGTTAGAACTACCTGGCACTTCATTCTTTATAGACAGAGAAATGAATTAACTGTACGTTTCACATAAATTATCTATTGTTTTCATAGATGTCATTTCAAAAGAAGGCAAAGATGGGGGAGGAGTCATTGTTGATCTTTCAACTTCTGACTATTCATGGAATTGGGGGAGGAGTCAAATAAACGCATTGTTGCTAACAATCCAACACACTTCTTAGGACAGCCCATGGCTTTCACTTCTCCACTTTAACCTTTTTGAGCTAGGTCTTAGTTGGAGTGTTGTTGAAGTAATCACCCAGAATGTTTTATTTCTATCGTCTCAGAAATGTTTATACTTTTCTCTTCTTAACAACTCCTGTTGTTGGGGGACGCTTGGGAGTGAGGTTCTCTGACTTTTTTTATGTATATGTGGTTATGATTTACATTTTACACTAAAATTTTTAATAACTGGATAATATGCTACATGAAATTGGTCTTATTTTTTTGTGTCTTCTTGATGCTATCAAGGAATGGAGGATGTTCATGCTATTTTGTCTCTCTATTAATTCCTTTTCTTGAAATTGGAGGATTTTGTCTCTACTGCAACTATAATTTATTCTAAATTTATAGTTAGTGTGATTTTTATCCCGTGATTTTAGGCTTCCCAACTTTGTAAATCTTATTTAATATAGTTTTACAGTTTGATGCATTGAAGAAGAGAACGTAACTTGGTGTGGCGTGGCGTCACGGGATTAACCACCGGTATAGAAGTCATGGCAATCTTCCTATATACAATGCTAAGAGGAGTGGATGAACAATGTTCTCGCCCATTATATTTGGCCGGGTCACTGACTAATAGCTGGTCTCCTTTGTCTCCGCTCAATCCGTAAAAAAGGAACACGGGAACAGAGCTCTCCCTCTGCTTGTCGGAAACCATATATAGGGCTAGGATTTTGAACGTAGCACCTCTTCAACGATCAGATCTTGCTAGGATGAAGGCAAGGGAAGGCTAGCTAGTTGTATTGATAGGCTACACAATGGAGTTGAACATTCCGGAATTGTTAGGCCTAAAAGAGAATTTTTGAATGTTATTCTACAAATTCTTTTGAAAATCTTAAAAGAATGTCTTTTGCCTACCGGAAGCAATGACTCCATTGTTAGTATGCTCGAGTGTGCCATTGTCTATCTCTTGGAAGTGGAATTCCTTGTTAGGTTCCCTATGATGATGATGAACCATATGTGGATTCACAAGGGTTATGGACAACTTTCTTATGGAATGGCGTTGACCAAAGTGATCCGAAGGGCCAAAATCAAGCTTGATAAATACCAAGGAAGGAACTATGAGTACAAGAAGATGGATGCCACAAGTCTTCGACGGTCAAAGATCTTTCAACACTTTGACGGATTTCACACCGAAGCTTCCTACAACTGAATTTCAGTAGAAGAGAGAAACCGATGGAGACGTGAGCACAACTTAAGTAAATTTGCAAATTCTTCCTCTTCAAATCTCCGTCCAAGCGTTGAAGTTCCTCCACGTACTTCTTCCATGCCTCGCTCCTGTTCTACACATGCAAAAATCGATCCTTCCTTGAAGAAGTACATGGATGAGAAGATAGCCCAAATGGAGGAAAGCATCACAAAGAAGGTAACCAAGTCCGTGATAAAGAAAATCTTTGACAAAATGAGAAAATGGATTGGTAAGTCTAAATCTCCGTCGTCCACGTCTTCTTCTTCGGAAGAAAAGAGAAGAGCAAAGAAGAAATCCAAAGGACCAATCATTGAGGAAGTTGTTGAAGAAGACCCTGAAAGAATCAACGAGGAAAATTTGCAAAAAGGGATTCGGGAAAGCCTAGCCGAACATCGTCATAGTGTTAGCTCATTTCCTCCGATGAATACCTCATCCACGTTTGAATATGGAAATCCCTCCTCCTCACATGTGAACGTTGATGGTTATGATGATGAAGACATTGACAACATGGCAAATGTTGATGATTATTATTATTATTATTAAATTTCATTTACTCTTATTTTGCACAATATGTTAAAACTTTGGTACTTTTTGATGACTTTGTGCTTAATTGCCTTCATTGACTATCTCTAATTTTTAGATTTGGTATCAAAATCATTAACAGGTTCTGCTGGAGTGCATGAAATCTAAGAATCATGAAAAAGGAAATTCTTAGCCTTGGTATGCTAAGAGGAAAACTAAAATATGGCACAAGTCATGAAAAAGACATATTATTGATAACCTACCTTATATGCTTGATTTATTTTGTTTTACCTATATTTTGATGGAATTCTTTTACCAAGGGGGAGTAAAATGTTATCAAATTAGAAGAAAAACAAATTTTTTTTCATCTTTCAATTTTTACTTAAATCCATTTGATAGGGGGGAGGGCTTTTGAAGAAACTTTACACCTTTTTATCAAAACTTTATTCAATCCTTTTTGCTCTTGACAAATAGGGGGAGAAATATGTGTACTTCAAAGTGGAAGTTTTTTTTTTAAAGTTTTTATGTGTTTCATACATATTAATTGATCATCAATTCTTCATAAACACATGGAAAATACAAAGTGAGAACTTTTCAAAAATGCTATGTTTTAGAGGGAGCTTGCATGAATCATTTACTCCTACCTAAATCTCACTTAAAAGAAAATTATTTGTCAACATCAAAAAGGGGGAGATTGTTAGCCTTGGTATGCTTAATCTCATATTTTGATGTTAACAAATAATTTAATTGAGCCAATGTTTGTTCAATTGTGTAGGAACGACAAAATCCACTAAAACGCGTTGATTGCGTCAATACGTTCGCTCACATAGGACTAGCATAGAATAGCTTAGAGTCATTTATTGTTAAAGATCTTAGAATGATATATCTCTTAGCTCAAGCTAAAATTTGCACACATACAAAAAAAGAGTTTTACTTAGGTATTTATTTTTAAAATACATTTGGTAAATATTTTCGAAAAATATATTTTTTTAAAATATTTAATTAAAGTTATAACTCTTCTCAATACTAGATCGCCATTTCTTGAATTACTCAATTCTGATTAGTATTGAAAAAGTTATTAACATTTTACCAAATTTATTTTAAAATTGCGCACTCAGTAACGAACGGTCGATGTGTTGAACCGTTACCCCCAAACGGTCGACCGTCCTACGGTCCTACTGACCGTTGGAGGAATCTGAACGTTACCCCGAACGGTAGACCGTTTGGACTGAAACGGTCGATGTGATGGACCGTTCGGAGACCAGATTCTTTATTTCTTGTCTTTTTCACACCCAACAGTTGGATTATTTTAATTATGGTATTAGGAGTTAATTATTCTTCTCTAACAGCTATTTTTCAATTTCAAACAACTCCTAATCCATCCCTATAAATACCCAAACCATTATAACGTTTTTAATCAATAAAGCCTTGCTAAAATCTCTAAATTCTTTCTTCTTGTGTTCATAAAAGTCTCTGATTTTTATTAGGCTATTAAAGAGTCATTTCTTTAATATATTTTCTTGAACACACATTGAGCTTGATTCAAGAGATATATACACTCATGTTATCTATAAGAGAGTTATAATTGTTAGAGTGTATAGAAATCATCACACCAACCCAACCTTGTATTTCATATTCTTGAGGTGGTGTTGATTAATTCAAATTCTCATATCCTTTGTAATACATTGAAGATATCTGTTATAAAATCTTCATTGAGACGGTTGGAGATAGCCGTGGTGAAATCTTCGGAAGCGGTCAAGGACATTCGTGAAATCCTTGTTGAGAAGGTTGGAGATAGCCGTTGCAAATCTCTAGGTTGAAGACATCCTGCAAATCTTTGGTGCACGGTTGGGGATAGCTGTTGGAAAATCCTCAAGCTAGTTGGATACTTCAAGGCGTGAAGTATTGTCGATCTAGTGTAAACCTATTGGCAAAGGTTTGTTTGCCAAAGACTAGTTCCCTCGTGACGATCGTATTGAGACGGTCAAGGCGTTCTAGTGAATTGAAAATCCTTAAGGAGGAGCCTTAAGGTACTAGAGTAGGGAGTTCCCGAACCAGTATAAAATCGGTGTGCATTTACTTTACGCTTTTACTTTCGCATTTTATATATTGCTTCCGCATTTGCCAACACCGTTTTTATTAAACTTCGAAAAGTTTTTAAACGCTTTATTCACCTCCCTCTAAGGCGTGGGCACAACGAATAAACCGACTAACATATTTCTTCACCTCCTATTTAAACACACTTCCTTGGTCATTTTTCACAACAAGAAACACTCCAATACTCCACATTCTTGAGGTGTTAATCCTCCATAAATCATTCCTCAAATATATATTATTTTGAGAGAAAATTATTTGTTTTTAAGAGAGGTTTCTTGTCATCCATTAGAGCTTTAATCATTTCTCATTTCTACTCTTTTGAGAGTTTATGTTGAGAGGTTGAAGAAGATTGTTCTTCTTGTTACACAAGACTTATGTGACTTAAGTCTTGGTTGTGAAGTCTTGTAGAGGGCATATCTACGAGCGGTTGTGTCGAAGCTTGTGGGATTCAAGTTCTCGAGTTGTAAACGGTTTGTTAAGCACCTGTAAGCTTAACAGAAGTAGTGGTAGCTTCGAGAGAGTCTCTCGGGGAACTGGACTAGCCACGAGTTTGTGAACCAGTATACATCAGTGTGTTCTTTGCCTTCTCTCTTTTATTTCCAGGGTCGACAACGATGGAATCAGCTAGGGAGAACGAAGAGCACAACAATTTCGAGGGGAGAAGGCGTATCGTTTTCAAAGATTCGTCGGGGGGTTAAGGATTCGCTAGGCCTTCAAACGATGTCATTTTGACCCAAAAAATCATCATCTCTCTTCGACGGCAACTTAACAATGGGTCATTAACTTTAATATTTTCGTTAAATTTTTGAATTAATGGTCACAAACAGTAACATTTTATTGCTTAGTAGGGCCTTTTTGTCATTTCGCGCGAATGGAACCGACGTGCTTCGTACTATTCTTTATTAGGGAGTAGTACATTTAGAAAAACATTCTCATAAAATCTAACCTTTTTGTGTACTTTTCCATAAATTCTTCGGAAAATGCTTGATTCACAAATTTAAACTACACAAACTTCACAAAGTTATCATTTGTGAACTTCAATAAAGAAAATTAAATAGTCTAAAATAATTTTAAAAAGAGAACTTAAACCATAAATATTAAGTTTGTGTATTTTATGATCATTCTGTTTGTGAATATAGCATACCTCAAATTCTTCACACACCAGGGTTATAGCCGTATAGGTGTATAGTTTTTTTTTATAGGTGTATAGTTCACACTTCCCAACTTTCTCCTTCGTTCCATTTGATGAATGAGCGCCCAATTCAAAAGTTCTCCCGTCTTCCTCGAGCTGCAGAACCCTTCTCATGCCATAGAATCCATCACTCTCAGCCGTCGGTGCTAGTCGCTGAAATGAGAGCATTCAGAGCGCTCAGCTTTCAAACGCGCTTTCTCAATCCCTCTTTAAACAAATCATTGTTAAACCCTACTCAAACTTCATTAGGTAAATACTCCAAAAGTAATGGAATTTTCCGCCATTTCTGGTCTTCTCGCCTTCTCATGTTCCCAGAAGAATCAACAGCTGTTAATGTCGATGTAAACGGATGGCGCGCAGGTTCCAAAGAAAACTCCAGCATTGAGACTTTCTATGATGCTACCACCGGCCAACTTGTGACTCGAAGGGTTCAGTCACATGAAGAGGCATCACGAAGGAAGGCTGCTTCGAATTCTGAAAATAGCAGTTCTTCAAATTCTTCCAGTTCTCAGTATGTGCATGGGTCCGAAAGTAGGGTGTACGGGGAGGTTGTAGGGAATATGAGTGGTAAAAAGAAGGGGAAGGGAAAGAGTAAACCTATATGGGTGTGCTCGGATTGTGGATATACAGATGGTCAGTGGTGGGGAGTTTGTAAGGAATGTAATGGTGTCAATACCTTGAAGCAGTTCTCCCCAGGAGCTGATCGGCCCACCGGTGGCATTGGGATTTCCGAAAATGTGATGAGATCATGGTTACCTCACCAGCGTGACAAACCTATGCCAGTGAAATTGTCAGATGTGAACAAGGGGATTAATCAGTTCAATTGGAGAATTTCCTTGTAAGTTAAAAGAGAGCTCAGGCCTGCTTCATTTTGGCTAATTGTTTTCCTTTAACTATTTTAAATAATCTGGATTGCTTGTTTAAGAACTTGTTTTTCACATTTATTTCTTAAGTTGGTTAATTTCTGGAGGCTTGCTATTATGATTACCAAAAATGGAAATGATTAATGCTTTCATATTTAGATGTGGGCTCTTTGGTACTGAAGTTGAAAGAGTGCTTGGTGGTGGACTTGTTCCAGGTATTTAGTACAAGATCTTATATCAATAGATCATGAGGGCAAACTCACTTTAAAACAAATTGTTGTTATGACATTTGATACACATTTTTTCGTGTTTATTATCTATTTATTTATTGATTTTTACAAATGTTTAGGGTTTATGGGACTCAACACGAGTGTACTGAAATGAAGGTGTTACTTTTAAATAAGAATATTCATAATTATTGAAATTGTATGGTATGATAAACTACTACTTTTGTTGACATGAAATTATGAATTTTGACTTACAACTTCATCGATTCTAAGGACTATTACCCGGCTTATATAGAAAAGTAATGGGGCTAAACCCAATTGATAACATAAACCTAATAAGAATGTGAAACCATGCCACTTCTAAAATCAGGATTACTATATTTTTATAATTGAATAATTTTATATGCTTTAACATATCTTTCTATTTCGTAATCTATAGGCTCCTTAGTTTTAGTGGGTGGAGATCCTGGTGTTGGCAAGAGCACATTATTGTTACAAGTATGACATTTGAAGGAGGAATGATGCATGGAATATATGAAGCACAATAGTATTTGAATAAATTTTGGTTTCTGCTGACTATTTTTGCCATGTATTCTCCTTCTGCAAGGTTGCAGCTATACTTAGTGAAGGGCGTAATACAATTCAATCTGCACCAGTTGTTTATGTCTCTGGTGAAGAGGTTAGTGTTTATAATGCTTGGTTGTATAACAATTTCACAACTTTTTTGCATTTCCAGTCAACCTATGGCAACACAATCTCGATCTTAGATATTACCTCAAAAAAATAGTTTAGCTCTTGGGAATTTGGCATTTTGCGGTATGAAGCATGAAATTAGCATTCAATTTTCAAGATGGAAGTATTGCATAAGATTATGATCATAATGAGTTGAGTAGTTGACCCAATGCTTCAATTTTCACAATTCAGTATTCACAATTTTTTATCACACAACACCAATGTCAGAATCCATTTTAGAATACTCCGTATAAAGCTGTAGGCCTGCGTATGTACTTTTGGGTCACAAGTCTAAAGGGACAAAGTCTCAACCTTTTAAAAACTTCAACAACGAGCGTTTGGACATTCAACTAAACAAGACTTGCATGAAGTTAAATTGATGCTTATGAAATGAAAGTCAATTCACCTTAGCATGATTGCTTCTGAATTATGCAAATATTGGCTTAATGTCAATCTATTGTTTTTCATGTCAGAGCATTGAACAAATTGGAAATAGAGCGGATCGAATGAGAATTGGGACTGAAAAACTCTTCTTATACACAAGTACAGATGTTGAGGTATGACGCCTGCAGTTGCCTCGATCTTATGATTAAATACTTCTGGGTAGTTTATATTCAATTACAACTCTCTTTAATATTTTTGTTTATTGATGCAAGCCAAGTGGTAAATGTATATACCATTAGTCTGACTTTCTGCCTACGGATCAGACCTCTAATTTGCAAGCTTTCTTCAGGATATTCTGGAAAAGGTTCAGCGCCTTTTACCATGTGCTTTAATAATTGATTCCATTCAGACAGTTTTTCTCAGAGGAGTAGCTGGAAGTGCTGGAAGCATAACTCAGGTGTGATAAGTTTTATTGTATCCTATCATAGCCATTTAATTTGGTTAATGCAGAAGGAAAAATGAGAGCACTTGTGAAAGAGGCTGAAGGGATTCTCAAATAATTAGATTATTTGTCACGTATAATTGGTTATAGATGAAAACAAAGTCGATAAAATTTAAAAACCATTATGGCTTTATATCTCAATATATGAGTATGGAAAACGTCAAATTTTGTAAATAAATTATGCAAGATGTAAATAAATTACGTCAAATTTTGTAAATAAATTATGCACCATTATGGCTTTATATCTCAATATATCAAATTTTGTACATAAATTATCTAAAATTATCCCATTGGTGCATTATTCTTAATTTTCTTCTATCTTAGCTATCAACTTGTGTATATTATCTTCTATAATTTCTGTTCCTCTCTATCTAAACCTTTAAGCTTATTGATCGTTGTGCTTACTGTTAATAGGCGGCCAACTTTAGTGATACTACTTGCATATTTGACAGGTGAAGGAGTGCACCGAAGCATTTCTCCGTTTTGCCAAGAGAACCAATATTCCCGTTCTTTTGGTAAGTATTTACTCCCTCCGCCCCAAATTCATATTCCCATGTGAAAATGGTATATGTTTTTAGAGGAGGTTGAAAAGTGTTATTGATTGGGAAAGTGACTTTTTTTTATCAAGAGAGAGGGGGGAGATCCCGAGCTAGTAGCTAGAGAAAGTGTCCTGCATAGTGTTAATGCCTGTCATGTAGTCAGCAATTAAAGTCTCTAGATCCGCCTTTGGATCCTCAAAAATTCTCCAGTCAATGTCTTGAAAAGCCCCACCATTAGCGGCAAGATGATCTGCACCTTGTTTTGTTCATGAAGTATAGCTCTGAAGCTGATAATTCGAAACCTCTCTTTCCAACTCTTGATAGCTGCAATAGTTTCACTCTTGGGTCCTCTCAAGCTGACTGACCTCGTAAGTCTGCACCTCAAGATCTCTCACCCCTCTCTCCAAGGCCCATTGGATGCCTTTCTGGATAGATTTAGCTTCACTGCCCTCAATATTGGTAAGCCTAGTTCTGGAAGAGAAACCACCCAACCATTCTCCACTATTGTTGTGAATGATTCCACCGCATCCAGCCCTGATCGCCAATATTTTTCTTCTTCCGTCGTCATTCAAAGTAAACTCATTATCAATTGTTGGTTTCCACTTAAGCAATCAATGTCTTGCAGTCAAAGAAGAGATCATTTGATAAGACCTAAAGTAGAACTTATGTGGGTAGTTGAAGGGTGAACATGTCTTTTCAATGGTTTAAAATTTCCAAAAAGTAATGAAAAGATGATTTCGGGATACTAATATGGTAAGAGGGAAGATGATTTTGGGACAAAGGGAGTAGTTAATATGAAATTGGAATAACACCTTGAACCATGGTTTTAAAAGGTGAAAAAGGCGGTCCGCCTCGAGGCGGTAAGGCGGTCAGATCCAGCCTCAGAGGCGTCCGCACTAGGTGGGATCTGTGAGGTGTACGCCTTGTTTTCCGAGGTAGTCCAAGGCGGTTGAGGCGGTAAGGCATTTGTGAGTCGTTAGCCTCAGTTTGGATCTTGTTTCGTGGGATCAGCGATTGACCGAAACAAGTGAAATTTCGATCGACAGGTCAAGCGCCTTTGTTTTTACCCGATCAGACTCTTCCGAGTTCCGACTCTGTAATTTATATTCTTTTTTTTCTTTTTTTTGATGGCTCTACTCATTTCTTTTTGTGAAGCTCCCAGATCTCTACTCCCTATTTCATTTTTATTTTCTTTTTCGGACGGCTACTCCCTGTTTTCTTATTGCACTTGTGGTCTTATCACAATTTTCTTTACCCAGGTATTTTTTTCTTTTTATTGAGCTTTTTAATACTCCGTTCTCCATATACTCCGTTTGTATTATTTACTCCATTCTTCCTTCACTTTTTTATTCACAACTTTTTTTACTACGCCTCCATTCTTCCTTCACTTTTTACTCACAACTTTTTTAGATTCTTTTGAAAGCGGAATTTCATGTCATTTATTGTTATTAAATATGGTGCTTTTTTAGTCTCTTGGTTGTGATTTATGCAGTACATTAAACTTTGTTTTGTATATTAATGTTTTTGACAATGATAGGCTGAGTTTTGAGTAGCTTAAAACTTGGAGACTCAAATTGTAGTCTCAAAATGATACCATGAATATGGATTATTTAGTTGCCCTTTTTTTTTTACCCTTTTTTGTTTAAATGAAAACCTATTTATGATTTTATGATTTAGTTTATATAATAATGGATCCTCCATTTTGTTGTACCTAAGAGTTTTTATTATGGTGTTTTTTCCAAGTTAAACTGATGCTTTCGCCTCGTTCCGCCTCGAGGCTTACGCCTCAAGGCATTTTGCCTAACCGCCTTGAGGCTCGTGTTCGCCTTTTAAAACCTTCTATAACTATGCAATTACATTGAGCATCTTTGTCTTTTGTTGATTACTCTGTATTTTTAAAAGTATATAGCCCCGCAAATCCTCCAATTGCTCTTTAGCCATTACACTGCTTTGTGACCACACAATGTGCCCATTAGATTTTGATTATTTGCTTCTAGCCTTAAAGATTAAAAGGCACTGACCTTTAAATGCAATTCTTTGGAAAATGTGAATACATATTTATAGTCTATCCACTTCTGTAATTAACGTAATGTTAAGCCACCTGAGATTCATTTAGAATTTTGAATTGCATTCTCTTGGCGGTTCATGAATTTTCATTATCAATACATGTTTTATAGACAACTTTTATGACTTCATCCTGTATATCTTCTTTTGTGTTTACATCTCTTTCTATTTCAGGCTGGTCATGTCACTAAAACTGGGGAAATAGCTGGACCTCGTGTCTTGGAGCACATCGTCGATGCCGTCTTGTATATGGAGGTTGGTGTTTCTATGCTTTTATCATCTATGGGTTTTCCAATATGCTTGGATTGAGGTGGGTTATTCATATGAATTTTCATGGATTGTTTTTACCAGATTTAACATTGAGTTTATCGTGGCACTGACTTGATGTGCATGCATCTTGTCTAGTACAATATTGTTACTGCTCAAGTCTTTATATGATGAAATGAAATAAAATTTTAGTCTGTTTTCAAGAGGATGCTTTGTTCAATTCCTACTTTTTCAAAATTGTAGAAATTCAGTGATCTGTTTTGTGCAGTCCAACTTATTTCATGCATTGCCCATGCATGATTTTGGTTGTGGTTTTCTTTCATATAAATTAGAAGCTTTTCTCATGTTTGGAGACTTTGTAGTCATCTATTGCTTTTTGGAATAAGTCATTGTTGTAACTAAGATGCTTCAGCTACTTACAATCTGCAGGGGGAAAAGTATTCTTCTCATCGATTGCTCAGGTCTGTGAAGAATCGTTTTGGATCCACAGATGAGGTACTCAAGTCTTGCATGTTCAACAATATGCTTCAACTACTATATGTTCCCTTTGTTTGAACATAAATGATTTGTGGCGTCTTCTCAAGGATATTGGTGTCTTTTATCAGCAATCATAGTAAAATCTGGAGAAATTTTTTGTTCATGAAGTTTCATACTTTTACACATCATAAAAATATGTCCACCTGGAATCATTCAGAGTAAGCTTCCTACTCCCTCCATCCCAAATTAATGTTCTCGGTTTGACTAAGCATGCAGATTAAGAACATTTAAAAGATTTGTTGACTTTCCCAATATATTCTTAATTTCTTTCATTTTCAAAATCCCATTTCAAACTCTATTTCATTCTCCTATCTGCCCATTACGGCCAGGATTTTACCACGCCACCCAGTCGTAGCTCTTCGAGTTTGCCACCACCACTGCCAACGCTATCACAAGTGGTGGCAAGTTGACTTGTGGTTACAACGGTTCTGATGTTGCTTGACAATTCTCAACACAATAAAAAGAGATTGTGATGCCCTTATACAATCCTCTACCACTTCCCAAATCCTAGAAGGAAGTACAATGCCACATACCTTTTTTCCCGCCTTTGTGTTGGCCAGCTTAGATTTACTCGAGTCCCTACTAACGAAGAAGCTTCTCAATGCATTATTGGGCTTGTACATACTCTGTAGAGTGAGAAAAGTCATGGCAAATCATGTAATTCTGTGTCGAATGATTTCATTCTCATTTGTTTTTTCTTTCAACGCAACATTAGGTCTTACATGTCTGCAAATAAACTTAGCTGCATGTCTCGCATTTTCAATCTCACCCTTAAAATTTGGTAAATTAGCTATGTCTTTCAACATGAGATCTAGGCAGTGGGCTGGTGTCTAAAAGAGCCTAAGGATACAATCTTCAAGTACTTTCCAACGGCTTTGTAATTGGAACCATTATCAGTTACTACCTGAACAACTTTTTTCTTCAATTTTTTCTTCCAACAGATCAGCTAACATACTTGCATCATTCACCTGACTTGAAGCATCAATTGAGCTTTGTAAAAAGTCCCTTGTTTGCAAGAAAATTTATTAACCATTTTTGACCAAACCTTTTCATGCTCCTTTTTCAACTTCATGGTTTCTTCTTTTGCTTTCTGAAGTGGTGGTACACGTAACTCGTGATATGATGGTGGTCTCAACCTAGGTCCATATTGCCTATTGATTCTATCATAATCGCAAAACTTTTGGAATTAGCATAATGGTATCCAATTCTTGACAAAGAAATCATTGGCAATGTATATATCAATATCAATACAAATCCATTCCAATCATGCAACTCATTTCTTTTGTCTAGTTTAGCATATGAGTTAGTATGTTTACAAATTACAATTATAGTAACTTTCTAAAGTGGTGCTCAACAAAGCTTAAATGAAGAATATCATAAAATGGTCGAGTTGAATGATGAAAAAAATATGAAATAAGGAACAATGAGTAACTAAAGGTGAATGTCTTAAGTTTTGCTCACATGATTTTTTAATGTTAACTGTGGGAGTGTTCTGATGATCAAAACTTCTTTTTGCTGCCAGCTTGGTGTCTTTGAAATGTCGGATACAGGCTTACAAGCTGTTGTGAATCCGAGTGAAATGTTTCTTAGCGAGCAGAACTCAGATTCCGATTTTCTGGTTGGGCTTGCTGTAGCTGTAGTTATGGATGGATCACGGGCCTTTGTCATTGAAATTCAGGTATATTTTTTCTTTTTCAACTTCGTGGTTGTTCTGTGTCATATATCTAGCACATTTTTGCATAGTGTCACATTATAGATTTGGATAGCTGGAAGAGCAGCAATATGAATCAAGTATAGCAAATTTCATAGTAATGCACTCTCTTTGTCTATAAGATTTTTTTTCCACTTTTGAATTTCTGTCCCTCATTGATACTATTCTAAACATGGCATGACCATTTGCCTTTTTCATTCTGTCTAATCTAGCGTCATTTTTGTCACTTGCCTTTTGTTATCACATGAACGTTTTTGTTAAAAATGTATCTAGAATGGTGGGGTTGTCTTTGGGTCCACTCTCCCTTTTTTATTTAATTCGTTTTAAAGTTTAAATTAGTTCGCTAGATGAACACAACACAAGTATTGTTGTCTGACAAGACCCAAGGTAAGAGAATGTAATATGGGTTACATCAATGACCAAACAATAAATGTGATGAATATAGTTTCATTAATATCACCAGAGGTAATGAAAAATAAGTGGAAGATGATGATATGTGTCGACACTCGCAACCAAGGATATGCATTACGAGAAGGGGAGTAATTGAAGAATACTAAACTTTTGTTTTTTCTAGGGAACAAACAAGGGAAGTTTGTATAATAGAGAAGAGTTAGGGGGTGTTTGTTTTTTCTGCAGGAAAAGGTCTACAGTCTGCAGACCACTACTGTAGACATCTACATGAGAAGTGGTGGACCGAAGGTCTGTGGTCTGCAAGAAGAAGACTGTTTGTTTTTAATGTCTGTAGACTGCTATATAAATTAATGGTGGTAGTGTACAGTGGTGGTGTATGGACGATTATGGTGGTGGTGGATGTTGACGGCGGTGGTGGTGGACGGTGGTGGCGGTGGCGGTGGATGGTGGCGGTGGTGGTAGACGACGATGGTGATGGAGAGTGACGGTGATGGTGGACGGTGGTGGACGGTGGCGGTGGTGGTAGACGACGGTGGCGGTGATGGTGGACGGTGGTGATGGTGGTGGACGGTGGTGGTGGTGAAGAGAAGTAGAAGAAAAAAATGGAGAAGATGTTAGAAGATGTTAGAAGATGTTAGAAGACATAGGTTAATGTCTTCTCCAAGAAGATGCCAGGAAGACCTTTTTGAGTGAAATGTCTTCCAAAAAACAAACAATCTGCAGAGCTCAACATCTGCGCGCGTCTGCGCGGCGCAGACAAAAGAGGCCAGAAGCTCTTCTGGCCAAAAAACAAACACCCCCTTAGTGGAAGAAAACTTCCATCTCAATTTTATTTCAATACCAACTTAATTTTGAATTACATGAGGCAAGATTCCCTCTACCCCCTTTTAATGTTCCCATATTCCTCTTTGGCATGTACCTACTTTTCTCATTTCCTTCAAGGAAATAATATCACTTCCCTAAGCATTAAATTTATCTTTTCATAACCTTTGTGGAAAAAGCAAATAAGAATACTGAATAGGGATCAAATGAGCGCAACAATAAGGATACTAAAGTAATCTCTAGTGAGAACCTCACGACTCAACATAATTTACTAGTGATGGATGTTATATAAATTTGGCGTAGAAGGGACGGACAGCTGGCGGTCCACCTCCACATATCTGATGGGGAAGTGAGGACTATCCCAGAGTTGGTTGCTTGAGTTCAAGCGAAAGGTGTAAGATAGTCTTCCGGGGGAGGCCAATGATATGTAATCTAAGACTGTAAACTACATCAGGGAAGCTGCCTGAGAAGTGCTAGGTGTGATCAGAAATACTGGAAGCCAACCTAAAAGTGACTGGTGGTGGAGTGATGTGGTTCATAGTAAGGTAGAAGCTAAGAATGTAGCATATAAGAGGTTTGTGCACTGTAGTGATGAGGAGGCTAGGCTGCCTTTAAGAGTGGAGTATAAGATATTAAAATTGTACGTAAGCAAAATTAGAGGTTACGAGGGTGAAGAATGCATCATCCTTGGAACATAGACTTTGAGGAACGGGGCGGTGATAAGAGGCTATTTCGGCTAGTTAAGGTGCATAAGAGGAATGCCCAACATGTGCGATGTGTGGAGAACGTCTATGGGAGGATTTGGTTCGAAGCAGTGGAAGTGTCTAAGCAGTGTCTTAATTCATTTTCGTCGATCATTTTAAAAAATAGTCATGTCACCACCTCTTTTGTAGAACTTGTGTACTTTCTTAATAGATATTTTTTTAATTTTAGACCAATTTTCGGATATACTATTTTGAAAATAACTTCAATCAAATATTCTAAACCAAAACAGGAGCCTTATTTCAAAAGTGGGGGAGCAAATAAATAATTTTGAAACTTTTACTTTTCAAATTTATAAAAATATATTTATAATTTTATTTTTTATATTCTCATCCAATAAAAATTAAATTTATTTTTCCATATTTAATGAGTTTTTATTTAAAAAACTGGACCAATTTGAGAAAATACCCAATTAAAAAGGACCATTTGGGGAAATACCCAATTCTTCTATCTCACCCTCCGTCCTCCCTGCCTTTTCCTTCATTGAAAATTTTTCCACTCCCCAGCCCCTCTTCAGTTTCAACCCCCTCTGACAACTGAGAAATGTCACACAAATGAAACCTAAATTAAATGGAGCAAAAAAGAGATGAAGAGAATAAAAAAGAAGGCAATGAAGGAAGCTTGAAGATCTAAAAGCTTTATAGACAGCTTGTAATCCCCAACAATGAAGCTTGGTTTTAAATTTGAAATCACAATCACATGAAACAAAAAAATTACCTGTCGAAGGACGACAAAGAATTTAGATCTAGGAATGAAGTTAGTTTGGTTTTTATATTTAAAGAATGAGAATAGCCAATTTGGTTTTTAATTTACAAATACGATCTGAAGTCATACCTGTACAAAATATGAAGCTTCTCTATTGCCATTCGGCGCCGCACTTCGCGGCGGCCATGCACTACCGCCCTTCGTTGCTGCCATTCATCACCGTCCTTCGATGCGTCCATTTGCCATTGCCATTAATTGACGCCCTTCACTGTTGCCATTTGCCACAGCCCTACAAGGCTAGGACTAAAGGATGATGACAAAAGAAGGAGAAAGAAACGGCAACAAACGATGACTAACCATGGAGAAGAAAGGAGGTGGGGGGGGGAGAAAGAAGAAGAAAGCGGGTGGGTGGAGACAAAGGAAAGGAGAAGAGAAAGAAAGTGGAGGGTAAATTAGTCTCTTTGGTATAATTTATTTGTCAAATAAGGAAATGAGAAGAAACCAGTGGGACAGACCAAAAAGGAAAGTGAGAAGAAAGATATGAGACGAAAGGAGCCCCGGTCTCATCACCCTCCTTCGATGCGTCCATTCGCCATTGCCATTAATTGACGCCCTTCGCTGTTGCCATTTTCCGCAGCCCTGGTCTCATTGCCCTGTTCCGAAACATTTCGATCTCATTTTTATAATGCCCCATTTTGTTTGGGTTGGCAAAATTGTCCCAAACCTGTCCCAAAATTTGTCCCGTTCCATCTCATTCCATTTATAGAAGTATATAAATATATATACTTATTCGTTTATATAAATGAGAGAACGGGAAGGAATATCATACTTTTTATTTATCACACAACACATACATTAATGTCTAGATCCAAACATTTATTCGCATTTTTTGTTTATAAAAGTTTATAAGATTTGTTAACTAACATGTTACTCCCTCCGTCCGGGAATGATGTTCCCATTTTGACTTTTCTTCATTTTTAAGAGGGTTTGATTAAGGGCTTGAAAGGACTAAAATGCCCTTGCAACTTTCCGCCTCACCACAGCCCACCTCGCACTAGCAACCCCCACCTCCAGCCTCACCACTGCCCACCTCCCATTGACACCCACCACCGCCAGCCCAGCACTGCTCACCTCCCACCCCTGTTGTTAGGCCCACCACCCCACCTCGCACCGCCGGCCTCACCACTGCCCACCTCCCATTGAACGGGAACCTCTTCGTCGTCATTGGCATGGGGTTCTTGGGCATGAGAGGGCGATGGAATGGATGACATGGAGCAAAGGTGACCATACTCCGCTCGGGTCGCCGCGTCAAGATAATTGGAATTCTCTCTTCATGTAGTACATCTTCTGAATCTTGACAAGCCCATAATAACCAAGGCACTCCGCGTTGAGAAACTGGACTCGGGAAGGAAGAATCTCAAGAATGCCGTTCTTGGCAAAAATATGAGTGAGAATCATGCCGTAGGGTTTGTTGAGGCGGCCTGAACTCTCATACATGTGTTGGACATGAGTGATGGAAGATTGATCCTTTTGTTGGTAAGGAGGTAGAATAAGAGGGTGCACTCATATACCCCAACAAGCTTGTCCTTGTTGAGGACAGTAATGATATTTTCCTTAAGAATTTTAAGAAGAATGAACCGGTTCCTGGTCAAGTTTTGGACCTCGAGGTGAATGACGACATGGTTCGAGTCCTTGAAGACGTAGTCGATGGGAATGTTGATGATCGATTGAGAACTCGTTCGATTCCGAAATCCACCCTTTCTTGCAATAGGCGGTTAGCCCTTCAAGAGGGAGGTGGGAGAGGTCGGCAAGAGTGTCGGTGTGGAAATCAAAAGTCTTATTGCAACAACAGCGGTGATGGAATTGGTGTTCCAATAAAATTTCAACGAGTCCTAGAACTCGGGAACAAGGTTGGGATAAACCGGGTCTTGGAGTTGAAGAACATGACCCTAACTCTGTTCATGTATGATTTCAAGCACAGGAACGAGGATGTCATCATTTTTCAACACTCGTCCTTCGATTACATTTGGGTGGCTATAAGCATTGAACCCGGCTTGAGCATCGAAAACAATTTCGCTCATTTTCTTCGAAGAAGATTGGAATGAAGATGAATTGAGATAGAAATAGGAATAATAGAAGAATATGAATGAAATTAGGCTTAGATTGGAAGAAATTGAAGGGTTACCCATAGTTTGTAAGGCGTCGCCTAGGCGATAAGGCGCTGTCACTGGGACGCCTTGTCTGCTCGCCTCGCTTAGAAAACCTTAAGGCGTTCAGGCGCTCGCCTAGGCGTCGCCTTTCCTCGCCTTACCTCGCCTTGATGCCTTGGGCCCCTTTAAAATTTTGAAAAAACCCATTTTTTAGTGCAGCCCATTTTCTTTTAGTGTACCCTAATAGACTTAGGGGCTGTTTGTTTCAGCCTCTTAATGGTTCAGATGTCTGAATGGTTCAGCACTTAATGGTTCAGACTATTTGTTTCAGCCTCTTAATGGTTCAGATGTCTGAATGGTTAAGAGATTTGCCTCTGAATGGTTAAGTATTATACAGAGTCTGAATAGTTAAGACCTCTTATCTGAATTGATCAGACATTTGCCTCTGAATAGTTAAGCAATATACTAGCTCTTAATGGTTCAGACCTCTTACTGGTTCAGCACTTAATGGTTCAGACCTCTTACTGGTTCAGCACTTANTCAGCCTCTTAATGGTTCAGATGTCTGAATGGTTAAGAGATTTGCCTCTGAATGGTTAAGTATTATACAGAGTCTGAATAGTTAAGACCTCTTATCTGAATTGATCAGACATTTGCCTCTGAATAGTTAAGCAATATACTAGCTCTTAATGGTTCAGACCTCTTACTGGTTCAGCACTTAATGGTTCAGACCTCTTACTGGTTCAGCACTTACCGATTCAGAAGTTGCCAAACAGCCCCTTAAACTTATCTTTTCTCTCTCTCTCTCTCTCTCAGTTTTCTGTCTCGATCAAGCTTCCTTAAAATGTATAAGACATATATATATATATATATATATATATATATATATATATATATATATATATATAGATTTTGGATCAGGTGAGAATGCAATCTTATGAAAGAAATAAGAATGAATCTGGTGCTTTAGATAGTGAGATCTAAGGGTTAGGATTGCATCAAAATTAGGTGCACTAAAATGGTTTTAAAATGCATCATGTCGAAATGCACCAAAATCCTTTAAAAATGCACTATCTCAAAATCTGAGTGCAGGATGCAATCTGAGCCGCACGATGCATCAGATCCAAAGGTTAGATTTTATTCTTATTTCTTTCACCAAGGTGCATTCTCACCTGAACCGCCCCCTATATATATATATATATATATATGATCATAAAATGTTAGGGTTTTTAGAGAAGGGAAAAGGGAAAACAACGGCCACTGGCGGCGACACATTTCCGATGAAGACAGAAGGGGAAGGGGACCTCATCGCCGGTCAAATTCTACGTATTTACGGGAACTATGCTATGGGAATGGACGGCCTTGGCGTTCTTCTTACTCTGAATTTTTCCGACCATGGTTTCACCCTTCAATTCCACATCGAAGGAGGAGGAGACAAAGCTCAGGACCTTTCACCAATGAAGCTGGCCAGATTTCTTTCTCAATTGAAAGCAAAGATTTTGTAATCTCAGATGATGGGCTGAACATCACAATTTCCGAATCAAAAGCAGGTAAAACACGTCTTCTTTCAATTTCAAATACCTTAGCCACGCGATTGATTGAAATCCTCAATAGGCCTGTTACTCTAAAGAATCTTGGGAAATAACTTGTTATGATGGTGATTCCTCAAGGTGTTTTGGGAATCAAATAGGTTTGGGCAATTTGCCCGACTTTTTTCAAATAAAGGCAGCTCTCAGATTGTCATACCTGCCAGTTACAACTTCACTGGACTAAGCATTTTTTGCAAGGGTTTATCTCATCTTCTTAGCGCACCAGTAGATAAGAATTCGGTGAGTAACCAGCAGCCACTTCTAAATGGAACAACTGAAATATCTGGGAATGCTATAATTGACAGTGATGAAGGATGGAGATGCGCCCAAAGTGAGAGGGTTTGTGGCAAAGAAGAGGAAGAACAGAAGGAATCTGCGAATAGGGTCTCCACTCGTTCAGCACTAAAATTGGAGTTGGAAAGTACTCCAAGAAACTACACAGATGCAGTATTAGACCGGGAGAGTACCAAGCAGTTTGATCAAGTTCTAAACAAGGGACAGATACTCAACTACTCAGGGGAAGTACTTCGGGTTTCTAGAGAGACAACAAAGATCTTTGAATACATAGATGCAGCATTAGTTCAAGGAGCAAAGTACCCGGTCTACCTTGCTTATGCCAATGAGGATATGGATGCCGTTCTCAATCACCTATGCGGAGTGCAGGAATGAATAACCCTAAAACTGGGCAAGGATTTATTTAGACTGTCTTTTATCAGCTTATCTGGGATTTTATTAGTTCTTATCCGATTATAGGTGATTTATTAAATCTTAGGACTTATCCGGTTATAGGTGATTTATTAAATCCTTGCCCAGTTTGTTTCGTTTTGGTTTGTTCTACATTGATCTTCCTCTCGGCCCTTCCAACTGTTGAAGAAGTCAAAGAAGCTGTCTGGGAGCTAAGCCCAGACAGCTCCCCTGGGCCCGATGGCTATAATGGCTACTTCTTTAGGGCCTGTTGGGACATCATTAAAGATGATATTTGGAAAGCCATCCAGGAATTCTTCCTTGGCATACCTCCACCTAAATCCCTTACCACATCCACTATAATCCTCATTCCCAAGGTGGACAACCCCTCAAACTTTGCTGAATTCAGGCCCATCTGTCTTTCTAATTTCATGGCCAAAACTATTTCCAAAATCATGGCTTCCAGATTGTCCTCCATTCTTCCTAAAATCATCAGTCCAGAACAAGGGGGCTTTGTAAAGGAAAGGCTCATTCATGACCAGATCCTCATCACCCAAGAAATGTTCCATGTTCTCTCTAATGACTGCCGGGGAGGAAACCTAGCTATCAAACTAGACATGTCTAAGGCTTTTGATAGAGTTTCTTGGATTTACTTGATGGAAGTGTTGAAAAGATTTGGGTTCGGTGCCAAGTACATACTCCTCATCCAGAATATCCTCACCTCCACCTCTCTTGCCGTGAATATCAATGGGAAAAACACAATCATTCCACACTTCTAGAGGGCTGAAACAGGGTGACTCAATCTCACCTTTACTCTTCATCATTGCCTCAGAGGGTTTTAGCAGATCTCTTAAAAATCTTATTTGCAATAAACTCCTTCAAGGTTATAGTATGGGGAGAAACTACCTACCCATAACACACCTGGCTTTTGCAGATGACCCCATCATCTTCCTTAATGGTACCTCCACCAACCTCACCAAATTTCACAAATTTTTAAAAACTTATGAGCACTGCTCTGGTCAAAAGATCAACCTGGACAAAAGCAGCTTCTACCCCCCTCACAAAACCCCTCCTCAGCGAATTACAACCATGGCCAAAATCTTGGGAATGAAAAAAGGTGACCTGCCTTTTAAATACCTTGGGGTCCAGATCTTCAGAGGTATCAATAGAGCACCTTACTGTAAAGATCTCATTGATCAGTTTGATAAGAAGCTTGGTTGGTACAGAAAACACCTCACTCCTAGTGGTAGAGTGATTCTTATCAAACACGTCCTCAACTCTATACCCCTCCATACCCTCACTGTAAACAAAATTGCTAAATCTGTCACAACCCTCCTCAATAAAAAGATATGCTCTTTCCTTTGGGGAGACAATAAAGGAAAAGAAAAGTATCATTGGGCTTCATGGGACAAGATTTGTATGCCGGAAGATAAGGGAGGTCTGGGAGTCAGGTCCTTGGCCACTCTACAGGAAGCCTATAGCCTCAAGTTGTGGTGGACTTATCATGCAAATAATTCACTATGGAGTCAATTCATGAGAACTTGATACCCCAGAAATAACAACTTCATTCCCAAAATTACAGATTCCACTATATGGAAAAGAATTTGTTCTATACACAATTGTGCTACTAATATCTTTTTTGTAGCTGATGATGAGGACATACAATGGAGACCTATTCACCTCAATCAGTTCACACTTTAAGGAAGCATACCAAGCAATCCAATCACAAGAAAGAGAGGAAAACCAAGACATCGAAATCATCTGGAAAACAAAATACCTAACATTGCTTTTTTTCAGTGGAGAATCTACTTTAACCTACTACCCTTTCCCACAGCATTAACAAAATTTGGGATTGAATCCTTGCCAACTCAATGCCCATTATGCAAGGAGAATGAAGACTCAGCACTTCACACTTTGATTCAATGCCCCAATGCACGAAGCATCTGGAACTACTTTGAATGGATCTTCAAAATTCCATGGCAAACAACGCATGGGGTGAGAGTTCACCTGCAATGATGGTGGAGCAACTGCAATCTCAAGACGCTCGAAGACTGGATCAAAGGTATCCTACCAGGGATCATACTTCATCAAATTTGGAAGGAGAGAAATCTTCGTCTAAATGAAAACACTGCAAAGGAAAAGCACAAATTAATTCAGGACTGTATAGGGCAGTTACAATCTTGGGTTTTAGGGAGAGCACCTAGCAAGCTTATGAGGTATGGCGCTTGGCGTCTTCCACAGAGCTCTCTCCCATTCAGTTCGGCACACATAAAATCAAAATCCATCGTTGGAATCAAGCACCAGAAGACTGTCTACATCTTTCAACAGATGTAGCATTCACGAACTCAAAGATGATAGGTGGAGCTATCCTACGCAGCGGTCATGGAAACTTTATGGCAGCCAGCCCATGGAGCATCAACGCTAGGGCTGTGCATTATTCGGTCCAAACCCGGACCGACCCGAAGACCGGCCAAAACCGGACCGGACCGGTCCGAACCGGTCCTAATTCGGTCCGGTCTCCGGTCCATCAATTTCCGTTATCCGGGTTCCGGTCCGGTCTGGTCCAAACCCGGTGAGACCGGTGGACCGACCGGTGGACCGGTTATATCATTAATATGGGTTTATATTTTACTTAAATTATTTAGTATATGGGCTTGGGCTTAATTTATCATACACAATAATGTCAATACCCAATTACCCATTGCCCCAAATAATCCACCTTAGTCCAGTAGCAAATCCACTTATCCACAGACGGTTTCACGGTTCTCACTTCTCACTTCTCAATTCGCCATTGCCGAAGAAAACTCAAAGGACACGCACTCACGCAGCGCAGCAGGATTCCGCCCAATCCTCCGACAATCGCAGCAGTTGTCCACTCCGTCCGGCGTCCGCACTCCGCAGGTACGCAGTCTCAACTCTCCGACAAATCCCAGGTTCCCAACTTGCCGATTCTTGCTAAAATGTCATAGGGTTAAGTAATTTGGAATTTTGTCGTGATTAAATCCCCATTGCAAATCTTTAAAGTTCCAATTAAATGGCATATTCCCCCTTATTTGGTCCTTATTCGGCCGGTCCGGACCGGTCCAGTTTTTTTCGGTCCGGTCCCGGTCCGGTCTTACACTATATCGGTCCGGTCTACGGTCCATTACTTTTCTCTTATTCGGTCCCGGTCTTGTCCCGGTCTGGTCCGGGTCGGTCCGGGTTTGGACCGATGCACAGCCCTAATCAACGCAAGCAATATTCTAGAAGGAGAAGCATGGGCTTTACTTCTTGGACGAAATTGGGCCAAATGCTTCTCCAACAAGATTTGGGCCCACACAAACTCGGAGATGATCACAAAAGCAATGCATGGAAACAAAAACCCGGGAGTTATTCGAGAGGTATGGACAGGTGTTCAACGAGCAATCCAAGAAGATGGAAACAATTTGCGTCACATTTAGAGAGAAGGAAATATGGGAGCACATAATCTAGCCAAATGGGCTAGCAAGAAAAATTTCTTTTCTGAATGTATTTCATTTTCATCTATTCCCCCTTCTGTTAAGGGAGCCATTATGGCAGATGTAACCCTTCCCTTTCTGCGTTATTAAATCAATAAAAATCTTCTCTTAATATATATATATATATATATATATATATATATATGTATATATATATATGTGTGTGTGTGTGTGTATATATATCTGTGTGTGTGTGTGTATGTCGCCTAGGCGATATGAAGGTACATTTGCGCCTCGCCTCGCCGCCTTACAAACTATGGGGTTACCTCAAGAGAGTCGCATGGTAGAGAGAGGACGGGGGGCAGTTGCGACCGGAATGTAGCAGAATAGAACGAACTGGACAGACATAGGGTTTTAAACTGGTCTGACCCGATGTTGACAGTTGGTACCTGGGTACCATGGCAACAATATCTCGGAACCGTAATAACGGTCTGGCCTACCGTGTACCGACCCCGGAAAGTCTCAAAAACCAACCGGCTCTGGTTGACAGTTGGTACTTGGGTACCATGGCAACAATATCTCGGAACCGTAATAACGGTCTGGCCTACCGTGTACCGACCCCGGAAAGTCTCAAAAACCAACCGGCTCTGGTGGAATCTATGGTCACTCGGTACCTGGATACCGTGTGAACGGTAGCGCCTACCATGAGCACGATATAGTGCATCGGTAAGGCGGTAAGGGTACCACACCACTGCTTCCAACTTTGTATCGACCTCTAGGCAAGTGTATTGAGCCCATTTGGCTTGATTAAATTCATTGCAATTCAAGCATTCCCATTTCTCTACATATATGTAAAAATTGTTTTTCATCAAGAGGTTTTGTAAAAATATCGGCACGTTGTTCTTAGGAGTGTAAACGAATATTAATCGGATCAAATGTGCCATTACTAGATCCGCATCCATTTATTATTATCGGATATCAAATTCAGATACAGATCTTGAGAAATACTAAAAATCAAAATCGTATCCGCATCCGTATCCGTTTCTAATTTTTAAAGTTAAATTGAACAATACCTTTTTTTATAATTAAATTAAAGTCAAAATATTATTCATTCAATTGTAATTTGTTACAGAGTAATTTTTTCTTATTTTGTACTCCCTCCGTCCCTAAATAAAGTTCCTCTTTCGTTTTTTCTTTGTCCCTAAATAAACTTCTCTTTTCCCTTAAAAAACCCTTTTACCCCTTACTTTTTCATATCCTACCTATCACATCATACCTTTGAATATCTATTTACGGCCCTAGTTGTTCTAGTGTTTTTACATATTCAATTTGAATATCTCCTTTTGAAACATGATCACGAATAAAATGATGCTGAATTTCAATATGTTTTGTTCTTGAATGTAAAACAAGATTTTTCGAAATATTTATAGCGCTAGAGTTATCACAATAAATAAGCACTTTAGAAAACTTTAGTTTAAAATCACCAAGTGTTTGCATCATCCATAGAATTTGAGCAATGCAACTTCCCATAGCAACATATTCCGCTTTGGCAGTAGAAAGTGCAACCGAGTGTTGCTTCTTGGATGACCAAAACACTAGCGCATGACCTATGAATTGTGCTTTTCTGATCAATCCGACACCCACCAAAATCCGCATCCCTAAACCCAATCAAGCTAAAATTAGTATTCTTGGGATACCATAAACCCATATTGGTTGTTCCCTTGACATACTGAATTATCCGTTTGACGGTAGTTAGATGTGATTCCTTGGGTGATGATTGGAAACGTGCACAAAGGCAAACGAAAAATATTATATCAGGTTTAGATGCAGTCAAATAAAGTAAACTACATATCATACCTCGATACAACTTTTCACTTACTGGTTTTCCACTTTCGTCACTATCGAGCTTTAATGACGTACTCATGGGAGTTGAATAAGCTTTTGACTCTTTAAGGTTGAACTTGACTAGTTCTTTTGCGTACTTGGTTTGGCTTACGAAAATGCCATTTTCAAGTTGCTTGATTTGAAGTCCAAGAAAGATGTTCAACTCTCCTATCAAACTCTTCTCAAACTCGCTCGTCATAAATCCTAAAAATTTGTTACATAATGTTTCATTAGTTGAGCCAAAAATGATGTCATCAACATAAATTTATACATTGGTAAGATCCTTTCCTTTTGTTTTTACAAAGAATGTAGAATTGATCTTTCCTTTTGCAAATCCATGTGAAATGCGATGCTCGGTGAGACGCTCATACCAAGCTTGAGGAGCTTGTTTGAGTCCATAGAGTGCTTTATGAAGTTTAAAAACGTGACTTAGAAAATCAGGTTTTTCAAAATCGGGAGGTTGTTCCACATAAACTCTTCTTTTAACCACTCATTTAGAAAAGCACTTTTTACATCCATTTGAAAAAGTTTGAAGTTAAGAGCACTTGCAAAAGCTAATAACATGCGGATTGATTCTAGCTTAGTAACCGGATCAAAAGTTTCATTATAGTCAAGTCCTTCAACTTGGCTATAGCCTTCAACAACAAGTCGACTTTTGTTAGAGACAATAACACCATTTTCATTGAGCTTGCTTTTAAAACCCATTTAGTGCCCACAACGGGTCGGTTTGCCGGTCTTTCGACTAGCTCCCGAACCTTGTCGCGTTCAAATTGCTTTAGCTCTAGTTGCATGGATACAATCCAATCATTATTTTTTAATGCATCTTCTACGTTCTTAGGTTCAAATTGACTAATGTACACATAGTATGCATTAAGATTGTAATTTTTCCTAGTTCTAACTTACTAACTCCCTTTTCAATATCTCCAATGATATTGTCTCTAGGATGGTTCTTCAAGTGCTTGTATGCCTTTGGTAGCTCCTTTGCTTTCTTTTGTTCTTCTTAAGTGGGAATTTTCAGGGTTCTTCTTCCTCTTCTTCATTTGAACCTGCAACTATCTTACTCGACCCAAAAGGATCAGTTTCATCGAATTTCACATGCATAGATTCTTCGACTCTAGAATTTGATTTATTATATACCCTATAGGCTTTGCTATTTGTTGAATATCCAAGGAAAATTTCTTCATTTGATTTTGGCTCAAATTTGCCCAAATGACCTTTGGTGTTCAAAATATTGCATTTACAACTAAAAACTTTGAAGTAGGAATTGTTTGGTTTTCTACCTTTCCAAAGTTCATAAGGGATCTTTTTGATGATAGGTCTAAGTAATACACGGTTAAGTACGTAGCATGCATCACAAAAACGTGAAAGGGCGTATGCTCAGCTTAGGTAGCCCAACAACAAGTTCTTTTGAGGAAATCTTCCTCAATAGGTCATAGCTAGCATGTCGTAGTCTACGATGCCATAAAATTGAAAATTCAAGTGAAGTGACAAGACAAGTGATTTTGTGTTGCTCAAGTCGTTGGAATTAAACTTATAAAAGTTTCCATGTCTTTTAGCCTAAAAAATGATTTCATTTTTGTTTTGGCCATATAACACGCATGAATTTGCATTAAATTCAATCTTGTGGCCATTGTCACAAAATTGGCTTATGCTAATTAGATTAAATTTTAGGCCATCAACAATATAAACATCATTTATAGTAAAATCACTAAAAATACCAATTGTACCTTTACCGACGACCTTTTTTATGTTTTGTCTCCAAGCGTCACATGTCCATGGCTTTTCTCCTTGAGTTGGGTGAACCACGTTCTCATACCAGTCATGTGTCTTAAACACCTACTATCCACTATCCAAGTGATATTTTTCCCATATTCAAAGAAGAATCAACTTTTGATCTAGGTTTGGGTTCCAATCCACAAAGACTCTATGTCGGTAGACGGGTTTTATCTTGGTCGGATTCAGAAGTGGTATGTCCACCTTCCGTTTTTCATCATAATAAAAGAAATAATATCCACCATAATTTTCTTTATTTTCCTGCAAATGGGTTTGTTTTTGATATCCAGTTTTCTTGGATTCGGACCGGTTAGAACTGTTAGAATATAAATAACTCTTCCTGGGCCACAACCACAAGCTTGAGCTTTTGGTTGAATTGGTTCCTTGACATGGTATCAAAACCTTGTTGGGGGTCACGGGTTCAAAACTCAGCGCCACCCAGTTTTAAGAAAATTAAAAGTTTCACGTGCAAGGCTCGAAAAAGACTATGCCTGCTTGTGAGGGAGCGTGTTAGAATATAAATAACTCTTCCTGGCCACCACCACAGGCTTGAGCTTTTGGTTGAATTGGTTCCTTGACAAGAACCTTTCTTGACCCATTTTAGTTTTTGCATTTGAACCAATTTCTTGTTTGGACATTCTATCACAATATGATTGGTTTTCATGCAATAGTGACAAGCATTTACTTTTAGTCTTGAAGTTGAGGCTTGGTTTGATGAAAGGGTTTCATTTTTATTTTTAACCACTCTTTGTGGTGTTAGTATTACCAAAAGCAACTCCTTCATTTGAAAGTTTTGGATTTTGATAATCCCACAACTTCATTGAGTCGGAGCTATTATAAAATACATCCAAGGCTCCTCTCCTAGCCTTATCTTGTTCAATTACTATAGTTTCAATTCGTTTTCAAAAATCTTCGTTTTGTCTTTGAAGCTTTTCGAGATTGGTTTTTAAAATTTGGTTTTCTTCTCGAGATGCTTTAAGGGCTGCCTTGAGTTCCTTTTTCTCCCTAATAGTTTGAAAATGTCCTCTTAGTATTCATCAAACGCTTTCCTCAACTCTTCAAAAGTAAAATCATTGTCAAACGAAGTAAAAGAATTTTGAGAGCTTACCTCTTCTTCTTCTTCATCATTTGACGTCATGAAACAAGCGTTTGTGACCTCTTCTTGGCTTTGGTCGCTATCACTTATGTCTGAATTCAAATCGTTCCATGTGGACTTTAATGCATTCTTCCTTCTTTCTTAACTTCTTCCCTTTCCAGTTTGATGTGCCCTACATTTCCACATTCATAACATGTGATTTCATTAGATTTACCTTTCTTTGGTGAAAATTTTCTTGAGGACTCGCCCTTGTTCCATTTGATGAACTTCTTGTATCTTTTGAACATAGGAGGTTCTTCATCACTTTCTCCCTCGCCCTCCGTAAAAGAGATTGCAGGGACATTAGATTTGAATGGAGTAGGTTGGTATGATCAACAAAGGAGCGGATCCCTGCTGGGGCAATGCATCGCTGGAGAAACCGAGTTTGCAGCAGAACCCCCACTCGCCTAGCAAAAAAAGGTTTTAAGATTTTGTGTGTGTGTGTGTGAGCCACCTAACTACTGGAATAGGAACACTCTAGATATTCGAGGAGTATAGTGTAAGCCTCCAAACTACTGAAATTCAATAAGCTATTGGACCAACTTATCGGTCCAATAAGCCACCAAACTACTGAAATTCAATAAGCCACCAAACTACTGAAATTCAATAAGCCACCAAAGTACTGAAATTCAATAAGCCACCAAAGTACTGAAATTCAATAAGCTATTGGACCAACTTATAGTGTAAGCCACCAAACTACTGATATTCAACAATGCGTCGAGAAACCAAAAGTTTTCTTTGCCTAAAGGTATCAAATGTTAGTAATTGGAAAGCAAGTAGATATTATAACTACAAGTGACACTATGATTGTAACAACAATTATTGCTGACATGTAGTAATTTCCATAGACCTAAATGTGATTTTGAATCATTAGGTCTCAGTTTTGCCCATTAGTATGAATGGTGGATGAAGGATGACTGAGATTGCACCATAGACTCTCATAGCTTGTCATTCATCACAAATTTCATATGCCGGATTGGTAGCCTGCTCTATTTCTTCCACTGACATATGCCATGGAGTTGTCAAGTTTGCTCGTTGACAACACTGATTTTTGCAAAATCATAGCTTTACTTTTCACCTTAAAGCAAGATATGCATCTCTATTGTCAGTTAGGTTGTGTGTGTGACTATGTGGGTGTTTTATTATCTAAAAAAGTTTGCTTGAGTGTTGAATGATGAATGAATGAATTCATAATACTTTTACTTCAAGGAGATAATGACTAATTTGAGAATGTGCACATTATTTTGTGGAATATAGTACTACTATAGTTCACTCAGGGCGGAAAAATTTATTTGTCAGCTGGATTGTTATGCCTTAAGGCTCCGTTCCGTTCAACTTATTTTTTCTGATCCGATTTTAATAAGTTCTGATCAGATCTGATTGGATCTGATCTGGTATCTGGTCTGATCTAATCTGATTAATTATGATTTGATTTAAATTTCAAATCAATAATTTATTTTGACTTTATAATAACGTTTGAAAATTGTAATGATAATTCATATTATAATATAATCAATATTTTTTATTTAATGATTATTTTTTAATAAAATAAAATTAGTTAATTCATATATTAGAATAATCATTCATATTACAATCTAGGCTAGTTCATGAGTGTTGTGTGATCCGAAGATTTCGCCTAGAATGAAAGGTAAGTTCTATCGATCCGTAGTCAGACCTGCTATGTTATATGGGGCAGAGTGTTGGGCGGTTAAGAAGACTCATGTGCGTCGTCTGCATGCGGCAGAGATGTGGATGTTACGATGGATGTGTGGGAAGACAAGGTTGGATAGGATTTCAAACGAAGTTATCCGACGTCAGGTAGGCATGGCATCGGTGGAAGATAAGTTGCGGGAAGCGAGGTTGAGATGGTTTGGCCATGCGAGACGGCGGGATGCTGACGCCCCTGTACGGAGATGCGAGAGGATTACAGTTATCGGGGGAAGTAGGGGAAGGGGTAGACCTAGGAAGAATTGGAAGGAGGTGATTAGGCAGGATTTAGGACTTCTCGACCTGACTAAGGATATGGCCCTAGATAAGAACCTTTGGAAAACTAGGATTAGAGTAGCTGGATAGGAGCTCGGTGTTGTAGAGGTTGTTTTATAGTGTGTTGTATTTGTTTGGAATCTTCTGATATTGTTTGTACTTGTTACTTGTACTTGTTGCTTGTACTTGGTGCTTTATCTGTGTTATATTGTGTTCCCTTTCATATTTTTTGTGCAGGTGGAGCCGGGGGTCTCTTGGAAACAGCCTCCCTACTTCCGAGTAGGGGCAAGGTCTGCGTACACACACCCTCCCCAGACCCTACTGTTGTGGGATTCACCTGGGTTGTTGTTGTTGTTATAATCTAATTATATTTTTTATTTTATGATTTTTTTTGTGAAATTAGAATATTAATATAATATTTTAATAATTACTTCATATATACATTAGAATAAATATTTAATTTATATATACATTAGAAAGTAATTAAATTTGGATAATTTATATATAGAAGAGATAGTATTTTTATTAAAATATCTCATCCTTATAAAAGACCAAAACTTTAGAAACTCAAATTACAAGTAGCAATAAAAATATATTTTAAAAGTAGAATTAGATTGACATTGTCAATGTATTTTAAAACTATTTTTTCCGATGTCTAATAATTAGGGATTATTTTCTCAGTTTTCTATTTAACATGTTTCTAAAGTTTATTCTTTTTCATTTTTAAGAACAATAATAATAATAATAATGATGATGATGATGATGATGATGATAATAATAATATTAATAATAATAATAATAATTCTTGATGGGATCTGATTTTAATAAGTTCTGATCTGATTAGATCCGATCTGATTCGATCTGATCTGATGTAGTATGATTTGATCTGATTTTAACAAGAATAAGAAAAAATAAGAAAAAATAAGTTGAACGGAACGGGGCCTAAGTCACATAGATGCCTCCATGGGTAGATTCATGTCAATCTGCTCTTCTGGTCTTGTGATTAACATTTTAGTCATTGATCGTATGACTACTGATTATCTGATTCTCCAAATAGGCACTGTCTGTTGCAGGCTTATCTATGTCCAGAACAGTAGAGGGTGTCCAGCGAAGCAGAGCTGACATGGTCATTGCAGTGAGTGCTATTAAAAGCTTTCTTATACAGCCATTGCAGGAGTTAAAAGTATTTTAATTTGATTGTATGTAATCATTTTGATTTTCAAATGCTAGGTTGATATGACTATATGAAATATTGAAATGTGATGGCTTTGTCTGCTAATAGTGCCACAGCACTTGTTGAATTTATACTCTCTCCGTCTTCCAGCTAACGTTACACTTTCCATTTTTGGATGTGTAAAAATGAACTTTACACTTCTTCATTTTCCTTTTGAGGAAACAAATATGCGGAGAACTGTACTTCTCTCTTTTTCAAATAACTTTCAACCACGTTTTACATTTTACTCCGTAATATTTTCTTTAACTTCGCGAAATCAACATGACAAGTTGATTTGGAGACAAAGGTAGTATCTTTTTTAGGTCATCCTCTTGCTGATTTTCATTGATTATACTAGCATATCCTTTGATATACCGTCCTAAACTTGGTCATGGAATATGCTGAAATATGACAAATCAATTGCTATCTGTATCTCTTCATGCAGGTTCTCATGAAGCAGGCTGGCCTCAAGCTACAAGAGAATGTAAACAAAACTCCTCATTTTTAATGTTTTATTCCCTTTTTGGATTCATTTTTTTCCATAATGTGATGAATAGATTATCTCCTACATGTCTTCATAAGTTCATAACTGTCTTAGATTTCGATTGACTTTTCTTGTGGACTTGCAAATTAGCCTATGCAAAAACAAAGTATACGTCAAATTACAGTGAAACATAAAAGTGGTAAGTCTTTTTATGAATTAATATTATACTTCATACATCACACATCTCATACACAACATAGTACATGGCTACTAGCCTTCTCTAATGAAGGGAAATGCACCTTGAATAGGAAGAAAACAATTGTAAGGTGAATAGGTTTGACCTAAACTTAGGCCTTTGCAGCTAACATCAACTAATCTTCAATCTCAATTATTGTTCAATGTTCTCCTTCAAGCTGAAGCACATATGATCTTTTTATGAATTAAAATTATACTTCATACATCACACATCTCATACACAAAACATAGTACATGGCTACTAGCCTACTCTAATGAAGGGAAATGCACCTTGAATAGGGAGAAAATAATTGTAAAGTGAATAGGTTTGACCTAAACTTAGGCCTTTGCAGCTATCAACTAATCTTCAATCTCAATTAATGTTCAATGTTCTCCTTCAAGCTGAAGCACATATGATTTTTTAAGCCTGTTACACATAACAATTTTCAAATAATAACACATGGAACTTCCATTGACAACTAAACACTTGAACATTAGGTACCTTAATTTTATAATTTTAACACCTTTCTTTGGAAAACTGGTGTTTTATGTAGAAACGCTTGAAGACTTATGGCATCTTTATTGATACTGCACACCAATCTGACTCAATATCCCAAAGAAGGTTATAGTTTTGTGGTAGCCAATGCGTTCAGTCTTGAATAGCAAAGCATAGCAGCCAGCCTTATAAAATAACTGATACTAACTTGACTGCTATTCTGATAATATTTGGACAATAAATAATGCATACAATAAAAATACAAAATTCCGAAATTGATACTCTGTGAAAATGACTCAAACTTCATGATTCTTTATTTTCAATAAAAGAACATTTTTGTCTCTAACAAACCATACCAATAACTACAATATAAGACGAGAAAGTGCAGTAAACAACGGAGGTAAAGGCATGCCTTTCGCCGCAGCTTGGAAATGGAATAGGTGACTATAGGCGAGTCACCCAAATTTTCATGCTGGGTTGCCGAAGATAGAGATGGTGGTGGTAGGTAGTCATGACTTGCATTAAATGACAAAAAATATAATTTATTTCCCAGTCTTGATTGAACCGTAGGAATAAAACGGTTGCTTTTTTTATTCATGAAATCCAAGAAGTATCCCTGAAAAGAAGCTGGAAGGAAAATCTGATTTGATCAAAAAAAGAAAAAGAAAAGAAAGAATAGAGTTGTGTAATTGCCCTCAAAATGGCTGCGGGAATTCTAGCTATAGCAGTCACAATAGACATCAATGGCAGATCCAGAGGAAAAAGTGATCTGAGGCATCATATAGTTTACAAACGCAAGAATAATAAGGGTTCGTGGGCAGTGCTCCTGGAATTTTTTTTAAAGCCAGTATAAAATGACAAAAGTTAAATTGATCTCAAAGAAGCATTTAAATAATTAAATGGACAGGTCCTAAAATGAGAACATATAATTTATGGGGTTGATCATAACTTTGTGTTATCATACTCTGTATTTTATTTGTATTTCACTTTCAAATTCTATTCAAATTATTATCCGGTCTGGGCTAATGTTTAATGAGCTAAGTGTTTTGAACAATTGTACTTTTTACTGGTGGATGAGTTGGATTTTTTTACTAGGGGCACATTGTTTTTATAGGACCTTCCCGAAATGCATCATTTGCATTGCATAACCCGTATCAACTTTTGATTCGTTATCCAAATTGTCCCATCTAATTTATATCTACTAGGGTAAAGGGGAGTCCAATTCCAATTGGGCAAAAAGAGTACTATTGATGATGTTTTGGACTTTCAGCTTTGAGCAAATAGAAGTCTAAATCAAATTGGCACATTGAACATCCATTGCTTTTTTTCGTGTACAGTTTTGGGCAGTAAATGTAGCATTGCATCCAGGGTCTAATGGAAATAGGCTCTCTGTTTTTACCCCAAAGACTTCAATGTAGGCGAGACTATACGAGGTTGTTGTTGTTGTTGTTGTAGGGTAATGGTAGTCTATTTAAAAAAGAAAGCATCATTTTTTACCCTTTGGACCGGAATGGTGTTTTAGAGGTTCTATGGGTTGCAGGCCTGCAGCTCCCGGTAAAATGGTTATGGATATGTAAATTCTTTTGGCTTTAGGAACATAGTTTGTAAGGCGTCGCCTAGGCGATAAGGCGCCATCACTGGATCGCCTTGTCTGCTCGCCTCGCCTAGAAAACCATAAGGCGACCAGGCGGTTGCCTAGGGGTCGCCTTTCCTCGCCTTTCCTCGCCTTACCCCGCCTTAATTCGCCTTACCTCGCCTTGATGCCTTGGGCCACTTAAACATTTTGAAAAAACCCATTTTTAGTGCAGCCCATTTCTTTTAGTGTAGCCAAATAGACTTAAACCCATTTTTTTAGTGCAGCCCATTTCCTTAAAATGTATAAGACCTATATATACATATATAAATATATATATAAATAAATAAATAAATACATATATACACACACACATATACATGTAGGTATGTATGTCGCCTAGGCGCGCGCCTAGCCGCCTAGGCGATATGAAGGTGCATTGGCGCCTCGCCTCGCCTCGCCTTGCCGCCTTACAAACTGTGTTTAGGAAATGTACTGAAGTTTATAGACAATATGGACATATTTTTTCTTAATCATTTTAGACTATCTAGCTAATATTTTATTAAAATGATATGTTTTTGTGGTTTCTGGAATTCGGGTAGCGCCGGGGCCAATTTTTTGAAACGGAAAGTGCTATATAGCACCTCAAGCTTTGGTTCAATTACATAAATGGATTTATATTTTATCACTCCCTCTGCCCCAAAATGAATTACACTCTTTGAATCACGTACAAAGCCACCCAATTTTTAAAATGATTTTATTTACAAATGGGTATAAAAATAAAAAATGAAGCTTACATATTTAAAAACCTACACCAAAAGTTCTACAAAATAAGAGGTGGCAAGAATACTTTAATTTACCAAATGAGAAAACATGCAAACAAACAAAAGTTCTCGAGAAGCCGTAATAGTAAAGAGGTAAATCATTTTGGGACGGAGAGTATTAGTTTTATGTCAAATAGTTAACAAATTGAAGTTAAATGTTGTCTCCTTCATATGTAGGGCGTGTTTCTTAATGTCATCAGTGGATTTAAACTAACGGAGACTGCTGGGGATCTTGCTATAGCAGCAGCCATTTGCAGCAGGCAAGCTTTTAATATACTCCTTCCACCTGGACTTGTTTGACCACTTCCCAAAATATTCAATTTGGCTGAAGGGAGTAATTTTTTACCCCCCTTACATCATGTGGATTATCTTGGGAACAACCTCTCTACTTCCAAGTAGGGGTAAGGTCTGCTTACACACAGTCTTCCCAGACCCTTACTTTTGTGGGTTCAAACTGGGTTATTGTTGTTGGATTACGTGTAATTCAAAACCAGGCTGTTAACTCCAGCATAGTGTGTGTAAAGCAATATATTTTCGGTTTTATTCTTCCCTTAAATTATTTATGCATGATGCAGTTTTTTGGAATGTCCGGTACCGGTTGGCTCTGTGTTTATTGGAGAAATTGGCCTCGGCGGTGAACTTCGGACGGTATGTTTAGAAAATATGTGGACAAGGAAAATTCTTGCGAAAGAAATAGAAAGGAAACCATATGTGAAAATAAAAAAATGTGGGAAAAGGAAAATTGACTAAAGACTCAAAGCTTTTAAAACGTTTTTAAAACAAGTTTCTAGACATTTGCGTGTACTCTCTTTTATTTGTATAATTGTATAGATAAAAAAATTTAATTTGCCTAGTGCACACCAAACACATAAAAATGACTTTCATTCAAAATTTATGTTTAAATTCCAAATATTGTTAAGTAGAACTTTTTGTCAAGAGTGACCATTTTATTATTTTTGACCAATCTAGTCATTCAGGTCATGAAATAGCTTATTTTTGGCAACTCTAATGTGTCACCCACGTAAGCATAAATGTTAATTTTTGTGCTGGGTTAATTTTGTGTAACTCAATATTAAATAAGTATTTTCTACCGCCCACTTTTGTGAACTTCGTATTTTTTGGTCAAACTTATTAAACTTTGACTGATGTTTTTATTTGACATATGCAGTAAGAGTTTCTACTTTTGTGATAGTAGATTTAACAAAGAGCATTTTTTATATATTATACTCCCTCTGTCCTAAATTAATTCTCACTCTACTATAACAAGACTACGTTATTTTCAATCCAATTTCTTGAATAATTATACAGGATTTCAAAATAAAAACTATATATATAAAAAAACCTATACCCTAAATTTTGAATGAAAGTCGTTTAAATATATTAAAATTTATATATTGTGATTGATAATCAGAGGTGTTCCTCATTATACATTATTACATAATACAACATGACTATATATACATAAGAAGGGTGCTAATATAAGGAAACTAAATCTCCCATATTAATGCCTAAATCACCCATATTAATGGCCAAATCAGATCCTGCCATATTCTCAGGACTTAACTAAAATACTAATATTATTACTAATAACACTCCCCCTCAAGTTGGAGCATATATATTTATCATGCCCAACTTGTTACATAAATACATAAGCCTGGTGCCATTTAGCGCTTTAGTAAGGAGATCTGCTAATTGATCTCCTGTCTTCACAAATCTAGTAGAAATCAATCCCTTCTGTATTTTCTCCCGAACAAAGTGACAATCTACTTCGATATGTTTCGTCCTTTCGTGAAAAACTGGTTTGGATGCAATATGAAGAGCAGTTTGGTTATCACACCATAGTTTTGCAGGGATGGGAGCTTTGAAACCAGTTTCATTCAGGAGGTGATATATCCATATTATTTCACACGCAGCTTGTGCCATGGCTCTATATTCAGACTCAGCACTAGAACGAGAGACAACGTTCTGCTTCTTGCTCTTCCACGAAATCAGATTCCCACCCACAAAGACACAATAACCGGAGGTGGACCTACGATCATCCTTCGACCCTGCATAATCTGCATCTGCATAACTT